CGCCAAAATTCCTTTTCGTGGCATATTCATTCAAGTATGAAGAGTTGAGAGAGCGGAAGGGGAAGCTGGAAGGAGAGGACAAGAGGTGTGCTACCACCTGTTGATTAATAGCGCTTGGTAAACAAGGGGTAAACATTTGAGACTATCACATATGACCGCGCAGGAACATTTGACATAACACGCAGGTGACGCAACTTGTTAAATGGTTTCACAAAACCTGTCGTGAGGACGTCTCTCCCTCCCGCAAATGTCTATACTTCAAATTTCTAATTATACCACCGCCATTCGTGTCCTCGCTCACTAACTCCTTCAAAACTCGTGCCGCTGCCTTCATTGGATTTGACTCACGTCTTATTATACGAGTGTATATTAATCAATGGTTGATTTTGAGTTCTAAGGGAGCCTTTACAGAGAAGCAATATGTCTGCCAAGGTAAATTCTAGCTTATTAATTTACAAAACTGATATCTCACTTCTCCACTCACATAAGAATTATACTTTTCAATTAAATATGTATCGAATGTGATAACTGCTTTTCCTCCAATCAAATTTAATGGCTTGGGCTGCCAACCTGTGCATAAGAATTAATGTCATCAAAGGACGTAAACTTCCTCATCTTCTTCTAGGCCAACATGATGTGCAGAACTCGCAACCCCAAAGATGTGCTAATGAGGCACCTCTTGAAGTGAAGTAGCGTGGGTGGTGTTGTCTGGATTGGGGTAAGGTGGCTTAGATACTAGTTACCCATCCAAAATACCACTGGTCACACCCTCGTTCTCTATCTCTTCCCTATCCTGCCTCCTGGGCTGTTAGCCTTGGCACTACCATCCTTTAACAATCCGTACGAAATTCTTTACACGAAGGATTGCTACAGCTACTTACATATAACTACACCTTTTGATAGAGTAGACAAATATAAGAAGCTTTTTTTACCAGAAACTTCGTTTAATAAAATAAGCATCATAATAATTAAAAACAAAATTTCGGCATAAATTGGTTCATTTAGGTAATCAGGTTCACGAATATAGCTTATGTACACATTATTAGTATTGTACCCTTGTGCAATCCGTGCGTATCAATCGAATTCAGACGATATTTGAGTTCATTTTTTTAATGACCTATCACGACAACATTGTTTCCATAACCTAAACAACCATTTTTAGCCATGAAGTCTCCCTTATAAGCAGAGACAGCGTATGCATGCTCCAGTTTAGACACGTCCAATTTCCAAAAACTGATGGATAAAAAAATCAAGCTGCTGCCTTGTGGTTTCCCTCTCGCCTCTAATTGATGAGCTGTCACGACATTTGTATTGGAATTGTGCATCGTTATGATGGTGGTCCCAACGAAGGTGACAGGACAGAAGGTAGATGGGGGGAGAGGCGATTGTTGATCAGGTAAATTCATTGGGAAGTGCTGGCTTCGACTAGTGGGAGGGTGGCATGTGTGCACCCCGCACGGGATGATGATGAGTCTAGACGAAGGGTTTCCACTTTGCAAAATTTATGTTTACCATGTGGGACAGCTCCCATTACTTAAACTGACTCTCGTGCACCTGCGTGATTTAGCCCTTTCCTCTACAAAAAGGATAGATACTATCTAACCTTGGATATAACACATTATTCAGGAAAACAGAAGCCTTCCAGAGGCGGCACATTTATTGTGAGTTGTTCCGCACACCTATAGCATCTGCGCTTGTATTGGTGAAGCTAGCCAATCAACTGGTGTCAAGAAGTCAACGTGGCCACATGTGAACTCTTTGTAAACCGTAGCACAAAATCAAATGTAGTGCGTTTGGAGCCTCTGTGGATAAGTTAAAATAGTTAATGCTCCATTGTTCAATAAAACCGTACTTAAATTTGACCTCCACTGTTCTCGGAAAACGGGAAATGGAACTCTTGGCAAAAGTGGGTGAACTAACCATTGTAAAACATTTAATTTTCCAACAGTCTCTTCTTTTAGGGAAAGCTTAAAACATCTGAAGCAAGTATTAATTACAGTTGATGAGTATCCGAAATTTCGGTTAGGACCCCAAGGAAAATTCATCTTCATTCTCCCCAAGGGGTATAATTACCGACGCATGAAGAGGGTTAGTTTCATTATAATGGCTGTTAGCCGGCTGGCTTATTTGGGCTTAAGACAACTGCCTGCTGCATGTGATTCTCGGTCAGTAAGTCACTTTATTCCTAGAAATAAAAGACAGGGTTGAAATTGTGTTTCAAATCAATGGCATTTAGAGTTTTCACAAGTAAAGGAGTTCGCCCCATTCGTGTCCTACAGTAGATACTTTCACTGACAACGTTAGGTAAGCTCGAATTTACTGACTGACCACTCACTTTAGCAATGGGCTCTGCTACTTTCGAAATCTCCCTCTTTCACAACTAGCGGAATATCTAGCCGATTACGCTCGTGTTAAGTGTTTTTCCTTACTAAGCCATCGCTGGAGTTAAGGTGGATTCAGATATCTTCGCTTTTGCAAAAAGATATTTAAAACGAATTATTTGAAGAGTTTTATTCGGAGTGAATGGTTGGTAATAAATTATTTGGCATTCTGAGTCACTAAGAAGAATATATGCATTAAGTACTACACATTTCTTTAAAAATGTTGATTTTTAGCCTGAATTAGAAATGTCTCAGACTGCTCGCCTACTCTCAAGGGGAATTGGTTGCTATGCTCATTTCTCTCATTTCTTCAACAAGTGACTACACATTACTTTTTCAGGTCCGATTATATATCTTTCCACGAGCAAGTTGACTGAGAAGAGGGGTAGAGTTAATGCACAATTTCATTTGCCCGTCTGATCAAAGCGCCATGATAGATCACATACCTCTAGGGGTAAAAATGACTCCCACTTAAATTTCTTCCCCAATGATCGTAATAATCAGTGTTGAATCAGAAGCTTTTTACTAAGACCTCATGGAGCGTATAATTAGTTCGAATATCGAAATGAATGAATTTGGAATGCGAAAATGAAGAGAGAAAGAAGGACCTAGTAAGTTTGTTGCTAGGATGTATAACCATGCTAATATGGCAAGAGGAATTGAAAGTGTAACTATTCTCAGACTAACAATACCCCATATCTATTTTACTATTTTAAACCCAACCTATCTGTTTTTGACATGGTTTGATGCGAGTACTTATCATAAAATAAGAGGGAACAGTTGTCATATCCACGTGACAGTAGTGGTGAACGTGGTAAGGAATGGTCAATTTATAGTTGGTTACTACTGCCGTGATAACAGTCCCTTCTAAACTTTAGGAGGTTATTTCTCCACCTACAGCTGTGTTCTTTGTATTTAGTGGACATTTCGGATGGAAAATCGTTACGGTCATGCATTACCTCCCAAATCTCTCAAAGAAAACGCTTCCTCCAATTACCCAGAAATTGACTGACACCACTTGTTATTATAGGTACCGAATAATGTTAACTTTGTCCGGGATGACGTTCTGCTTCATGAAGGAGATCTTACATGTATGTGTACTTAATCTCGAAGTACATAACCAAGGTACACGTCGCTTCTTAACAAACGAATCTGCTGTCAAACACTGCTGTAAATCGTGCTAATCAGATGACAGTTAAAATACCTAACATTGAAGACATTGAGTCCGACTAAAAGGTATAAAGAAGCGATCGTAACACGTTAGATCAGCATCTTCACCTGCATTGGCAGACAAAGTGATTGAGGCTAACCTCTAAAAAATTGGCCATTAAAGTGAGCCACGAGAAAGGTATTTAGTTGGTTAGTCTGGTATTGAGAATAACCTTATCCACCCAGTTGCTATAATTTTTAACAATTGACAAATGCACTGAAGACTCTAACTATCCTTATGCAAATTATATAGAAGCGGCCGATCCTCCGGCATTTCCTTACCTTTAACAAGCTTTGAGGAAGGGATTAAACTATTCTCTGATTACCAATGACATCTCTCTATTAGCTACTGTGACACCGGCCTAAGTTGTCTAATATTCCCGATACAAGTAAGTGAGCTAAAAGGTTGCCCATTAAAAATTTGTTTTGTCCTTCGAATGCTTGTCTTAATAAATTTTATGATATACGGTGAACAGCTTGACACGTTGAATTAGGCTTTAGCGACTGACCGCATGACCATGAGATGTTGGGATAACAACCACAGCATCGGTTGGGTAAACAAGCTGAGCCGATCCAATTAGCTAGGTCTTGCACCTCAGCCTCATACGCCAGCCGTCGGCTTGGCAACAAAAATCGCGTACCCTCGACTCCACGGGGTGTTGGAGCAAAACGAGGTTCTCACCATGTGGGGTGGAATGGAACAATCAGAGGATATCTACTGCCTGACAGTTCGTACACTCAATCATATTACTCCTAATCGGTGGCACATTTGAAAAGACATAATGGACCATGTAGGTCTTTTTTCAAACAGCATACTTGAAGTCTTCTGTGATAATTATTTTTAGTTTTCCCTATTTGATTTCTCAGTTTTTGAGACCTGTACCATTTACCGGAACCAAAAATCCATTCCTTAATATTGTCAAATTTAGCATATTAGGACGATTCCAGCCCCCTTAATTTATTCTAAATCCTAAATAGTTGGATAGTTCCTATGCTATTTGCATTTTAAAACATCCTTAAACAATAAGTTGACAGAAGTCTTAGAAGTGGATCTTTAAATCTTATGAACCCGTTCCCTGAGCCCATTAATGCGTTGCAGTTACCGTTTAGCCCCTTTGTCCTAGGTGTAAACGCAATCACAACAACATTCATACATTTCATTGGCTTAATCCTCAGGACATTCACTACAAAGGTTTCCCTTTGAGGGAACCAATACGCCTGGTCCAGTACTCTAATTGGTTGATTCTGGTAGTTGAGGTTGCATTCTTCGTTGATTGGTTGCGCGTGTGTCAACAGTGCACGCGTGGTCTTGGCTGACTTCAGTAAGTGCAGTGGGCGAATTATTTTGTTGAGACGAATCCCGGCTGTCGGGTGGCCTCTCCTACTGACTGTTCTCTGCCGGGTCCGTAAATGCCGTTACAGCAGCAAGGCCAGGAGCGACCACCTCTCCAACCAGTCTACGTCATTCCACTAAGTGGTGCTGCTGCTCCAGTCGAACCAATCGCCGTGGGCCCAAGCAACACGCGAGCAATTACACAACCATCAGTTCCCTCTATAGCTCCGAAAATTGACTCTCCATCTACGTCTTCTCAAGAGATGGGTAAAAAAAGGCAACCACTTTTTCCACTGGATGATCGGGAAATGAAACGAAGGGTAATATTTCGAATGTTCTTAATGTGAAATAAGGATAGTGGTTAATTCTACTGAGTGTGGGAATTTTTTAGCTAGACACTTCATTGCGTTGACATTTGCTAATGGCGTCACACTTAGGCTGGTGGGACGTGTGAGAGCATTTAAGGGTTGAGAAGCCGGGGAAGGGGGAGTTGAGAGGTGTCATCCATTGTCACTTTGATTGTCGCAAGCTCAGTAAGCCTCTTCCTCCCAACTTCATGGTCTTGCAGGCACACCTATGGATTTGACTTCGGACGAGCTAACTGCATCGTCTTTCCCTTCTAGGTCGTAAAGCAGTATATGGAGCGCCGTCGGCGGGCCTGCATCTCCGACAAACTATCTGCACTCCACAGTCTCGCTGTCTCTCTCGTTGGGGAAACGGTAAGTAATGCTCTGCTCCACCGTTCACATCACAATTTAACCAGGTGGTCTCTCCGCAACTGTAGTTTGGATCTACTAACGTTCATGGAGACAGGGTGAGGAGAGTAGAAGTTGTGTATGCAGTTTAAATTTTACCTCTCCTCGCTGATTTTTATGTTTTGCTGTCCTGATCAGGGTTTGAAATATTCAGTTGATTTTCTAAATATGTTAACAGGATGTCAGTAGGCGAATTCAGCGCTTTAACTGACGTGTCGACACATTCGTAATTTGGTTGTTGTTTGAATTAAAATTCCTAAGCAGACACAAATACGCAACAGACATTTGGGGTTGATTCAACATTGTTCCTTTGTTTAATTGCCTTTCAGCCACAACAACAGTCACATCAGAGGATAGAGATCACTGACATACTGAACCAGTGCGTGAGCGTGCTGCAGAGCTTGTCAGAGTTTGTGAAGAACGAACCCGAACTACAGGCGAAGATGCATCGCCTAAAACTGCCTTCAGCGAAGGAGTCGTCAGAGGAGCAGCGGCGACGACGGCAGGGCGAGACCTCCACCTCGAAGGAGGTAATGAAGGAAGAAGCGGTGGAGGTAGAGAAGGAGAATGTGATGCCTCATGCATCGGCGTTCACGCCCGTCGGTCGACACCGAATGGTAACTACTTCAACGCCTCTAGAGGCCCCTCCGTTGTCGTCTCCGCCACCTTGCCAGCAGTACGAGTCTCTCTCCATGACGCGAAAGCGGAAGAGGGAAAGTACCGACAGCGGTCTCAACTCTCTCGCCTCTCCCTCGACCGGGGCTAATTCCACGTCATCTTTCACCTCTCCAACCCCTTCCACTTCCGCGTATTTTTCCTCGCGCCTCGAGGAAACTCAACCGCTAAAACGATCGAGGAAACCCTCCTCATTTGATATCTGGCGGCCTTATCGAGATTGAACTAATGGATCTCCATTCGGTGGGGTAATTGATGTGACTTTCTGAAGTATTATTTAAAAAGTCAGCTTTCGTATCTACTACAAATGTAACCAATTTCATGCCACCAAATTTTACGTTTTATTAGTTTGGGTTCAACCTGAGGGGGTTTGTGATATGGTTGACAATTGTTTTCCAGTCTCTCCATGTAACCATGCAGCTACGAGTTTGAATTTCTGCAACAATGTGGGTTTACTTGGGAAGGCGAAGCATCCTGCCTATCTAGAGCATTAAAGCAACCACTCGAAAGAATAAGGAGGGTATTTAGCTTATCTGAGCTTGTTCTTCGCTTTGTCGCGAGAAATAATTTTGATTGATGCATTTGGATTTGCGTGAATTTAATTGCTTAAGTAAGGTATGAATATTAAATCGGTCGAAGCAAGGCGTGGTGTCGTACTTTACACTCTGCATTTCGTTTACCATAAATATATTGTCTCATTGACTTCGTGGTATTGCCTCAATTTGACCTGCTGGGTTGAAGCCATTAGCTAGATAGACGCTCTGTCTAGGACATGCATCAAAACAGGGTTTACTAGGGGAATTTTGAGTAAATTCCCTGTTGGCGCTTCGAACTAGCACCTGGTAATTATTGGTGGGCGTAACTCTACATCTTTAACGGGGTCTCCGGGTCCCTTAACTTTGTATCTCTCTTATCCTGGAATATGATACACAACCATCGTGGTTACGCTCATGAATCATTTGTGAAGGCCATGGCGTGGAGGCATTCTCACCCGTCAGAAGTCCGTCGTTAAGCGAACTAATTTTATTTATTGGTCGCCGCAACACGACTGCCAACTAACACCGCAATCAGACCACTCTAGCTGCTCCACCTTTCGTTGTGCAGTTAATATAGGTGAATCGCCGTTGTAGTCATTTGAACTCGATTTTTTTCCCTTGATGCCTAGACTTCAGTACTAGCAGAAGACACATTCGTCGCAGATATCTATCTGTTCCCTTGCCACTTCATCCCTGGTCGTCTCAAACTTGCCCGATTATCGGGTATCAGCTTATCAGTTTCGAATGAGATTGTAGGTAAACAAGCAAGAATTTTGTCGAGAAGGGGAGAAAGGCGGAGGAAGGGTTTTTGGTTACTGGTCAACACCTAGTTTTATTAAATTTATTACGTGTAACTTCCAAAAATGCAGAAAGACATTGTTGTGCATTTGTCTGATCAGCTGGCGATTGCTACTTCAATTACGCGATAAAAGGACAGCGCTGGTTCTATGGTGTATTTGAAATGGACCACACAACTGAGTGAAAGTGTTCGTTCTGATTATGTTGATGGCAACACCTTCTCAATGGCTATGCCAAGAGAGTAATTCATAAGCCCCCGACCCAAGTACACTCTGATACGTAAAATATTTGTGGAAAAATTGCTTCCAGTCAAAATTGGTTTGTATTTAAATCGAACAGTCTAATTCAGGGAGTCGGATGGAGAAGGGGAGAAGGCAGTTGAAATGTGGGGAGGAAAAGACTTAGCTGGTCGGATGGGGTCTACGCGACCTGTTGCTACAACCTGCTACGATGGGTGAATTTATAGGATTGCAAGTCGAGAATTCGAAGGCAGCTGTTCGCGTAAGTTTTGTTCTCGTGGAAATTCACGCACCAATCATATCTTTACGTCATCGTTTCTAACTCTGAGTCGAAAGTATGGTCTATCAAGCCAGCATAAATCTGTTATGTATGCGAGCGCTCATATCGGATTTTCGAGATTTCACTGCCTTATTCTTATAATGAACTCTAACCGGACAATGACGGCAGTACGACCACATTTTGCTTCCAATTTATCGCCATCAATGTCGATAAAATCCGAAGGAATATTCGCACGAAGATTTGTATTTGGGGACCCATTTTGAAATACGATACCAAGGGGCAATTTCAAGGGGTTTTGTGATTTATGGAGTTAAAGCGAGTCACAGGACATGGTATGGAGGGGGGAGGGGGGGGGGTGGACGAGAGGGTGTTAATGTGGTCCCGCATGTTCACGCGCGACTCATAATAATTATAAACAGTGATATACGTTATCGGCTCGTTGTCACCTCCCCTCCCTCTATGGTAGTTACTTTAGTGTCCGAATCTTCTTCAATAAAATCACACATTTAACTAATTTGTACCCTCCTAATTGAACTCACAAGAAGTTGTTTGAGAAGATCGGGAGTTTTCATCTAATAAGTGGTGCATTTTCCTCCACGTGATCAAAGTTTCTTTTCACAATGGTGAGCAATTACAAATTTCAGAAATCCGCTATTTTAATCCAGCTACTCTTCCATAGCAGACGTTAATCATATAGAAGACATTTTGTCGATTTCTAGTAAAAATTAGTGATTTGATTTTGTTAAATAACAAACGAAGTTACATAGGAAAGATAGATTCTGTTGCAAAATGTGACAATTCGCGCAGATCGTAGCATCATTGAAAGTAATCCAGTGAAGCTGATCAATGTAAGGTGAGGTACGGATAGAATTGTCAAGTCTTTCACAGTCCCAGCTACAAATAAGTCAAGGGAGACGGGAACTCCGTGAGTCGACTCTAAAAAACTGATTTAACGTTGACTGAAATGATGGATACTTGAGATTGTTATTCAAAGACTCTAATTGCGACACTAAAAGAGGCACCTTGCGTCTTGACAAAAAAACTAATTTAACGAAATCTATGTCTATCAAGTGGTTCATGCCACTCCCGAATGACCCCTTAATGTGGGCTGTGGTTTGGTCTTGTCTCGTGATCATTTTCCCAATCGGGCACATCTAATGAGCCACCAAATTATTCACTTGTCGGCAATTGAAAAATGAGAAGTACTAGAGACTCCACACGTTTGTCAAAGCCACTTACAGTTGTGCCTATCGCCTCTGATGGGGCCTACCAATTAATGAATGAAAAGCCTTGAAGTGCTAGGTAATTTCTCTCTATTCTGCTTTGCACAGAGACAAACCACTTATATAGTCTCACTCGGTTATTGGAATATATAATTAAAATTTGCGAAAAAGCACGTGGAAATGTTTTCAATGAATTGTAATATTATCAAATGGAAAATTCTAGGCGAAATTTTTTTTTCAATTCATCTCCTCCACACAATCTTGGAACAATTGTAACGGTGCATTTGCGTTTTTTAAAATATGTAAGGCGTGCGGTTTACCTAGAAGCGGTCCTTGATGTGTTTCAATTTTGCATTAAGTTGAGTGGCAGATTGGATTTTGAACTAACGACACAGTTTAAGTAAAAAGCCCCAAAGTTCAGCATGTGGGGTCAAGGTGGCGTGCAGGTGAGTGATCACTTGTGATAGTCGGGTGCGGTAGAGCCCATATTTAAGAAAAACTGTTGTAGTTCACATGTATATGCCAGCAATAGCACCCCACCCCTAATGGGCATGGCAGCATTGCCTGAGCCCACCAGATCACCTACGTCCCCTGTAACCTTTCCTTCCAGTGGACCACTTATTGAGTATTACCAAAATAGGCCTTGACAGCGAATATACTGCATTATGAATGTATGGACGGTATTAAATTTTAACAAATTAATTACTCTAGACGACAGGTTTGACTAGCATGATCCACTTAAACCAGCAGCAACTTCGAGGAGGAGGTGAAGGAGGAGGAGAGGGATTTAACGGAAATTTTCGCACGAGAGCCCATCACTCCTCACCGACCCATCCGCACGTTCGCCCAAATGCCTGCAGTAGCTCGCACGTTCGATTCCTACAACAGCTACGATGATCAGGGCGAGAACGTGCAATTCCTTTATTTGGTGTTTTTAATCACCTGTTTACTTGCTGGAATTCTTTCAGAGTTAACCTTTAGAAGACGTGACATGTTGAAAGTACGATGTATTTAAGTCATTTCAGTACAATAAGGGTCTAAAGATAAATGTGGAAAAATTCAGCCAGTCAGTTGTGAATATCAAGAATACGCTGGTTTTGATGACAGGACCAAAATCTTAATTACTTAGTCACAAAAATCAAAGCAACGGCCATAGCAGCACAGATGCTTATGAATTGAACGAATTGAAAACTCTCAATTAGATCCGATTTTATACGACTGAACCGAATATGAAAACAAGGAGCAAAAGTTTAAGATTTTTATCGAATGATGGTAAGATTTAGCAAATGTATGGTCTAGTGTTATAGATTTATACGAAAATGTTGGTTGACCACAAGGTGAGAGTTTCAAGACTGCTTTAAGTCCAAGCATTGTACACGCGACAACTTTTTGATAAAAAAAAATACCTTTTAGGAAGTGGTATCAGACAATACGTTTCAAATTTCAAGCAGGCTCACGTGCTTGATTCTGCGTTTGGTCAAAAGGATGAGTTGGAGCCTTGAATGTGTTCTAAACTCAACTTTCCTAGCTTGCAAGTGTTGCCACCCTCAATAAAGCGCTTCACTCTGTCAGCATAATGTAGTATGGAAAATTAATTCGTTGTCGTCCATTGCAGTTTTCCAGTTGATCAGCTCATCAATCTTTGAATGGAGTAGACTTATTAGTCTTGATTAGCCGAAACCATAAAGCAGCTCCCGTCGATCACTCATGCTTCCTAGTTTTCAATCCGGAGGTCAAATTGTTCTCAACTTCGGATAAAGAAATCTTTTTTCCACATGTAGTTCTATTCTCTATCTCTGCAACTTTTTTGTCATTCGATCAAATACCAATCACATTGCACTTGTCTAAATTCCAATAAAAACACGGAAATCATCCTCCGCCACCTGATCGAATGAACAGGTTCAGTATCATGACGGTGTACCGTATCGAGTGCGATTCCCAAAAGTGAACAAACGAACACACGCTGAAATAGCAACCGTACTCGATTGAGTAAACAAGCTAAAACGATCCAATTAATCAATCTCCCCCTCTCTTTCTTGAGGCCAACTTATAAAAAAGTAGGCCTTGGGGACAGAAGGGTACACGAGTTGTTGGCCTGGCAACAAAAATAGCATGAGCGGTTGGGAATTCCCATGCGATCCCCTGCGGAACGTTGGACTAGACGATCGATTCGTGCCAAGAGGGGATGGGAACACGAAACTGCGATTGTGACTCGTCGCGTGAGATCGTGGTGACATTTAAGTAGCTCATAAGAGAGCATGACAAATCGGTCCCGAGAAGGAGTTTAAGATCGCCATAATTGATTGCTGATTTTATACCGGCACCAGAACATCTAGCCAAAGGGCGATATCCAAATAGCTTTCTTTCTGTTTAATTATTGTCTGGTAAAATTTGCTCAGTCATTTATGAATTCACACTTTATTGTAATAAAGGAGGCGGCTGCAACGAAATAGGAATATAGGTAGAAAATTCATGCTATCTCCATTCGCACTTTAGTACACTAATTGTTTTCACAATCCTTTGAGAATAACCAACTAGAGCTGTGCTTGCAGGCATTACTAGCTTTATACACAACCACTTAAGAATGAAAAGTGATATTGAGATAAGCTTTTTGGTGGATTTAAATTCCGCTATACCTGTACAGTTCCTATAGTTCTCCATTTAGAAGGCCATTTTTGTATCATGGCTCTCATACCCTCTCAGCAAAGAAACATGAACCAAGGCGCCACTGTACCGAAGGTTGAATATGCACGTTTACAACGCCAGCCACCTCACAAGTTAGTTTTTTTCGTGAGGTGACCAATGTGCATGGTTCAGCATACTTATTGGTTGAACCAGGGAGCTGAAAGGACACTCAGCGTTGATTGGTTGCGCGTGGGCCAATAGTTTGCGCGTGGTGCGGTCCCACATTCGTGAATATAGCACGCGAACCATTTCGCCAAGATGAATCTTAAACGTCGGGTGTTGTTCGCTCCCACCGGATCCCCTCCATCCACCCTATCAATACCGCTCCAACAGCAGATCCATCAGCAGCCCTATCAACCAGTCTACGTCATACCGCTGGGTGCAGCCGCAGCTCCTGTCGAACCAATCATCGTGGAACAACCTACTAACACGCGACAAATTCCACACCCGTCAGTTCCCACCATAGCTCCTAAACTCGACGCGCCGGTTGTATCTTCTTCGGGAGCAGTGAGAGGAAAGCGACCACTAGACGATCGCGAAGTGAGACGAAGGGTAAGTGTTCCCCATTTCGTTTATGCTAGATTCTGTTAACATAAGTTCTTTTTTTAAAGTGAACTCTCGCGTAGAACGGGAATGGAAAGTGAGTGTAGCTTCTATGAGTAAGCCTTTCCACCTGGATTGTCCATACTGAGTCTACTGCGGCATGAGCTTCATTCGCATTTGTGCGGTTTGTGGGGTGGGAAATGACGCATTCATGTAGGCTAAGGGAATTTACGGAAAGGCCAGAACTGTATCACCTCGCTCCTCCCCTCTCGCCTATAGTCTTCGCACTAGGCTATACGTAGCATCGCCTCAGTCGTGAGCTCATTAATCCTTTATTCTCCTTCCCCTAATTTGGTGAGTGACTGGCTAACAGCATCACCACCCCTTCCCCTTCTCTCTCTAGGTCAAAAAACAGAACATGGAGCGTCGTCGACGTGCATGCATTTCCGACAAACTGTCCACCTTACACAGTCTCGCTGTCTCCCTCGTTGGCGAAAAGGTGAGTTATGCTCCGCCCTCCTCCCTTCCCCCCCCCTCTCCTTCCCAAGTCACATCGTTTTGTCCAGCTGTGTCCAGCCTGGCAGTCAGCATCTGCACGGCTGTAGCTGGGACCCAATCACAGTCATGCGTATAATCTTCGCATTGAACGTGGCAATTTCTATGTCCCCCCCCTCCATCCTCTTCCACCTTCGCTCTCCCAATCACATCGCCAACTGGACAGTTAGGCAGCTTGATTCTGTGTGGCTGATATGCTCAATGGATCTAGCTCGTTATACAAGACACCTTCCGATCTAATCCTTTGTTAGGTTTTGGCTGGGACCTAAATCGATATACAGCCCGGTCTATTGATTTTTCGGGCCTGTTGTCAAGGCGCTAGAGCCTTTCAATATCGACCGCCCGCTCGCGTCGGCACCCTGACATGTGATTTGGTGCACCACCACCGTCACGATTGGCTCGTTGATTGAGCTACAAGTGCACTAGCGTGGGAAGTGAACGGGCCGCAGCTGGGCTAGAAACTAATTTTAAAATCTTCCTTCGACTATATTTTAGCCGCAGCAGCGACCTCATCAAAGGACGGAGATTACAGATATACTAAATCAATGTGTGAGTGTGCTTCAGAGCCTGTCAGAGCTTATAAAGACTGAACCCGAACTGCAATTGAAGTTACGACGTCTGGAACTCCCCTCAATAAAGGAGTCATCAGAAAAGCAGCGACGGAGAAAGCAGAGCTCGACCTCCATGTCGAGGGAGGCGGTTGTGGAGGAGGAAAAGGAGAACGTAGCATCTCATGTCTCGGGGTTTACACCTGTTGGTCGAAACCGAATGTCGATCACTTCAACACCGGTGACAGCGCTTTCACCGTTGTCTACGCCTTCTCGTCTGCACTGCGAGTGCCCACCCATGGCACGGGGTCAGAAGAGGGAAAGCACCGACAGCGGTCTCGACTGTTTCGCCTCTCCCTCGCTTGGGGCTACTGCAGTTTCTTCTTCATTTACCCCTTCCACTTCCTCTTCCTCACAAATTGTTAAAACACCATCACTCAAACGATTTCGAAAATCTTCATCCGATATATGGCGGCCATACCTTTGATCCCTCTTAATGTCTTCTCGATTTTTTGGTGGACTTTGGGGAAATCGCTGCACCGCCGTGCTCTTTTCCTCAAATTCTACCAGGAACAAACGGTGTGTTTTTATTGGGGTTTTCAGTCTATCTCGTTTGCTGTCGTTTTGTGCCCGACGTAGACAGATTACTATTCCTGCAGTATGATTTCTTTTGGAACTTGGATCTCTCCTAGGTCTCTATCAAGTGAATTAGCTTTCTTCTTTAGTTGTCAAAAATTAATTAGCTCAGCTAGGGATAGACGCCTTTCAGTGTACACGAAAACGTAGTTGTTCTAGATGCCGGAGTCTCTTGTTACCTTGTAATTGCAGTCGTAGTTGATACTGCTACGGATTGGAATTACTCAGGAATCTAGCCTAAAGTACATGGCTGGGCCTAGGTCTCGGTCCGATGCCGTGGACTTGAAGAGTTGGCTAACTCGGTTTCTCCGCGAAAATCTCGACCATGGCCACTGCAAGGGGTGCGGGAAATCATGCGTATTTTCTGGTATCCACCGTTTAATTTGGCCAAACAAGTATTTTTCCAGTCTTCATTCATATTCATGTTACCTTCACTCAAAATTGCTCTAACACAGCATATTTACTGTTGGATCGTTTGTACTCGTTACTAGAATATTTGCTTATGATGTTCTGACATTAGTCACCAAACTTTGGAAACATGGGGGAACTTTTGTTAACGAATTTTCAGATGACATCATAGAAGCGGGACCCCAATGTAATCAGTCCAACTAGATTAAAGAGCCTGTAAATAGAATGGTCATTTTTCGACCATAATTTAAGTTTCATAGCAGTAATAGTCTCGTCTTCCTGTCAGGCTGAAATATGATTGTATTTGGTCATAACTTTATTATGTAGTCAATTTTAACCAATTAGATCAGCCATTTGTGAACTAATTAGGTAGAGTACTTCTATACTTTCACAAAACAGGATATTGTATGCCATTAGATTGCTGTGCTGGACTAGAGGCTGGAGTTTACTCAGGGTGGTTATATCACGAAACGAAGGGTTTACCATTGATATCAACGGACTGAAATCTAGTGCATGCAAAAAACCTTACTTCGATTGAAATTGCTCGTTTACGCTCTTTTGGCGTGAGTGGTGTCGGATACGTGGGTATTCGGCGATCGATAGTAGGTGGTGTAACCAATTCCTATCGATTGGATTGCACTCACCCTGCGCGCCAACTCGTGCACTAGGCGAGTCACCAGAATGGGCTGCTTTGTGGTCGATAAAGGGCCTGAGTCCTCCTTCTCCGCCTCGCAACACCGTCGCCTCTACCGTCACAAAATGTAGCCGGGATAATCATGATGTTACTTACAATAATAGGACTATTGTTAATATTGGCATGAGTATTATACGTGTGAGATCTCAAGCCGTGATCTGTATCAGCGAATTTCTTCTTGGCTTCTGATAAAAGTAGTTAGTTTTCAGAGTTGAATGTTCCTGTAGTTTTAAGGTTGCACATTTTAATCAAATTCCTGAAGTGGCAATTGATAACGTTTGGCAATGTATATAGAAGCTTATCTGTAGATGCTTCCTTGCAATGCAAGAGAGTAATCATAAGAGACTGGTAATGCTCAAAATTAATGTAAATATCATGAAAATTAGCTAGAGATGGTCGGCGAATGGAGCAAATACTACAGGATAAAACTAAATCTGAGGGTGTTAAAAGTTGCTTTTGACGGCAAATTTGAGACTCAAAATGGAAAAACTATGCAAATTTCCTGTGTTAATTTCTGGCTTTTACCTACTAGGATGCTCGTTACTAATGTGGTGGAGCCCACAATGATCGCAAAAGGATAATGAATTAAGACAGATTTTATCATTCGCGAAAATAAGTGTAAAGACTGGTTTAAACATGTTTTCGCATCGGATGCTCGCACACTACGATGAAGCCGACTTTATCCCCAAATTGGCCTTATTTGCTTCCTCGTATAGTCTTAAGAATGTAAATTGCTCGCCGGGTAAATAGAACCACTTTTTTGCAAAAAATTCCCTTAAACTGTCCACTTATGCACAGCCGATTCTGCCACATTTATGATAGACAAGAAGATCGTCTGGTCTTGTGCATCATCATCGTTAAATCAGATAGAGTAATGAAAATCTGAGGGTCTAGAATGGGAAGGATGGGAGGGATGGAGGGGTGATTAGAGCAGAAATATCTGACCGTCAGTCAAAACGTGACCATGGGTAAATTCGTTGTACGGCCATGTATCCATTATATACATACCCTTAACCGGGCATTGGCAGAACCGCAAGATAAACTCAACTTTTCTTATGAATAGATTTTAATGCAGATTCCGCATTTAAGACTGTGAAGTTGGATTGACAACAAAGAGAGAGTAGTTTGGGTCCGTAGTGAATAGTATGGAATTATCAATATACTTATGAGCTAAGTTCCAACAGAAGAAACTTGGAATGAGAAAAGGCATTGCTAGTTTAGATGTCAGGTATGGAATATTACGGTGTTTTGCAAGTAGCTTCCCAACTTCTCGCATGGCTGCCCTCACCACGTGTGAGTTTGACGACGCTGTGCTAAGGATTGAAGCCATTGCTCGTGCCTCTTCATTCCTCCACGGACGGCTTAGGGGCAGCTACCTGTGTCTACGGGACCCCAACTAAAACACACCGCTTAAATTAAATGCTGTGGCGAAGGTAACCCATTTGCGTCGAAAGTTTGACAATTTAGAAATTCGATAGTGTAAAGACATGGGATTAAAAGCTTGTCGGGAAAGTAACCATTTAAAAGCCAGTTTACAACCCAAAGTATAAGAAAACAATTGCAACACCTGCACAACTTGACACAGATTAATGCTTAGTTCATATGCAACCAAGTGTTCTTTGTAGTGATGTGATGCGTGAGATTTAAACTGACTGTCTGAGAAATACCGAATGATTTCGCACTCTTACAGATCAATTCGGGTTTGAAAACTCGGATTAAGGCTATTAATAACTTTGTATCCTCTTTTTACATTTTTTTGTGATGGTCATGTCTGTTCCCTTACTAGTTTTTTACATGGTTCTTATTACCTTAATCCATTATTTCTGCACCTCGCATTTTCAATTAATGCAAAAATGTTAATTCCTTAGTTTTTTTTCTATTAGGAGAAGGATTTATTTATTCATATAGATGTTGTCTACAAATTTGCTAAGTTTTATGACATACTTTAACTGAATCGTAATTAAACTGGTAATTGTTCGAAATGAGTAGAATTAACTTGGTGGGTTTTTAAAGTTATCTCTAGGACACCTAGGTGATGATTCCTTACTCAAATTAGCAGATAATCATTACAACATATGTGGAAATGTGATCCAATTACTTTTTTGTCAGCTTTCGGCTACTCGTGTGGCCCTACTCATGAATACACGAAGGAATTATGAGATGATTTAATGATAGGCATGATAGCGTACTTTAGTGTCATCAGCTTCAAGCACCAAGGTATAGCCAAATCAGCTCATTTCTCCCAGCTATACTTTGTAATAGTGTATTCCCTGGGTGGCGGTGTTAGTGGTAGTGAGTTATTTGAAGGAGGCATTCAATGACGGAGGGCGCATCCTATCCCAACCTCACCTCAGTTCGGCGCAAGAGCCCGTGTCCTACCCTTTACCACTGGAGGAAGGGGGGAGGGCCGATCCCTCGGTTTGTTATCATTCATATAAAATTTTATGTCTGAAAAACTTGATGTTATTAACCTGAACATCACGCTAATGCTAGGTAGGCCACCATTAAATAAACCGTAATAAGGCATGCTAACATAGAAAAACGGTTTATTAGCTAACGGAAGGGCTGAGGCAAAAGTGGGTAATTAGAAGGCAACGACGCCAGGACTGATGTACAACCTTCAGACCGAGAGAAGAGGCCGCGTAATCAAATATATGCGTAAACAAATATTAGTGAACTGAAAAAAACTATTTCCATCAATTTGTAACTTAAAAAATCGGTACGAATATATAAGTAGTTGCACTTTTACCTTAAACCGAATCCTTCACTTCTTCGTTGTCAAAACTTTCAGAGATTTTAATGGGCAGAAGGAATGATAATGGTAATTAAAAATGGCGGAGCATGGAAGCGCAAGGTACCTTGGAAAAATCATCATTCTAATAAAAAATGGTCCCACCACCTAAGACTAGGTGGTTCTCTCACTCTTAAACTTTCTATGCCAAAAAGTAATGGGACAATAAGATGTGTTGTACGTTCAAACTGCAAATTAAATAACTTTCGCGCTCCTAATTTCTAATTCGTGCCTAAAATGTTGAATGTATTCGAAAATTTCAGGCTTCTGCATTCGAGCATGAGAGGCGACAATTAACTCAGGAAGGCAGCCTTTTGCTCCATAGTATGGCAAAGAGTGAGAGAAAAAGAAAAACAACATAAACACTTAGGGTGAAATTAAAACAATGCAACATTTGCGATGCTAAGTCTTCCACTAAAATCCTGCCAGCAAATTTGTTACGCACTGCTTTTCCTCCCATTTTTACGCCGGGGTCAATGCTGTTTTAAAAACAATGGGTTAATACTTTTATCAACGAGGTGCCTTTGAAAATACTGTGAGTGCTTTCTGATTTTATCGATGTAAAAAAAGCAGTTATTGTGGAAGTTTTTCTCAATTGTTTTGAGAATCGAGATGCTACATTTTTAAACTCGTTTCATTTTTACTATTAGTGGGTTTGCTGTTAAGGACGTTGATAATATGGCATACAATGATTCTTTATAATGCCTGTAATTGTTCTGATGCCAAATAATACGTAAAAAAACAAGACTGTGAAATGAATAACTAAATACGGTAATACTGTTCCTTTATGAATGTCGATAGCTTTTTGAGAAGTTGATCGAAGCTAGTTTAACGCGTTTTCCATTGTGCTTACCCTGGATTCTGATCAAAATCCTGGTAGGCAGGAATGAGGTGCATTTTCACGAAAGTTCATAAATAACTCATTCCCATTTACTACCTATAATAAATATGCTTTTACACGTTTCAAGTTGATCAACGGTTCCGATTCCCTCCACAAGTGACAACTTGTTGCCTTCAGGACGCGAAGGGCTCTCCCTTTGTTTAGTCCAGGTGACAGTATTGCCTCAGGAGGAGAAAAACAGAAGAGAAAATCGAAACACGATAAGAGAAGAGAAGGATTAAAGGTCTTTTTACGAACACTGGCCTTCTTTCCCGCATGCATGATCGACCGACCGTGATCGGTCACCCATCTCCATGCGACCAAATAGCGTTTTCTGGTATTCTATCCCAAACCTCAGTGACCAACCGTGTTACTTCCCAAGGCGAGAATAATGAAGAGGTTTAACAAGCACATTTAAAAGTCATAGTAAACACAAAATTAGTTTGGAAGGGCTCTCGTGTAAATTTCACAGAGAAAACACAAAGACTGAAATACAAGATTTAGGATAAAATTGGTCAGCCACTCCGACTTAGCTATGGGGATAAAAGAGGCCACTTTGGCAAAATGTTTTATTCATAATTCTAAATGTGATGTGTGAAATGAACTGCTTATAAACGCAAAATCCACGTGACTGACCCAAGACCACTAATTAAATCGGAAACATGGAATTCTTTGTTGACAGCTAATTATGGTTATTCCACCCTAAACAACATATAAACGTAATTTACAGATTTTAAACACGGATGGAAAGTAATCGTGATTGTTTCCCAGATTTTGTGAATGTATAGCGCTTTTGTTAACGCTAAGCCCACGTGGGAGAATCCATGCTGTTATTCATAAATCTGCTTTATAGAGCACACTGGTGACATGAATAAGACCATGTTACCAATGTTGAGACTGAATCGCTGGAGGCTGAAAAGGACCGCAAGGTTACCTATATTAGTGAATTTAATACCGATTTTCTACAATATCAACCCAAGACTGTTGTTAGATGCTAGCTACAGGTGACAAAATTGGATTTCAAACCTTTTCGTTATTATACTGGTGGATGTCAGCAAGTTGTGATCTCATGCTAAGTAGACAGAAAGACTGCAGACATTAAGGCCTTCCCTGGCCCTATCATGCCAGCCGACTCTCCAGCAGTGGGTGGTCATTCCTAAGGAAGCCACGGTGACCCCATTAGCTGCATGTGCTTACATGATTTATATTATTGAGTCATACTCCGCTCATATCCGACACAATAAATTATTCTTGAAGAATGAGGCCACCGTGCGTGATTTGGCTAGGACTATGGTAATCATTTGTGTTACTCAGAGAGGTAGCTAAAAATCATGCTTCCTACAAAAAAATCCCCTTTACTTACCCGTCCGTCGCTCACAAAAATTCAAATGCATTTAATTCGTCTAGCGTATTCACCTCCTAATGAAGTTTTGAGAAAAAAAAAGATGATGCCCCATACTGGAATGGTGAACTAAACACGAGCTTATCGAGAGGTCTAGCTACTGCATATGATGTATTTTTTTAATCATTATACCACAGGGCGATTAATGTGCTGACTTCGGTATCAGTAAGTGATCACATGATCCTGTCACAATTGAGTAGAGTACTCTTCAGGGCAAATGGGCTGAGTTCTCTACACTAAACCCCTCTCCCCTTCCTAACCTCATCCTTTAACCGCTAAGCCAGCCCAAAAAATTCCATGCATGGATGAAGTGGTAACGCTCAAGGGGTGGACCTGGTTATGGGCTCGCAGTTCCGAATTTAGAGCATCTGTGTATTGGCACTATAGGTGAGCGGAACATCGGACATCAGGAGGATCCCATCAATCTACCGAGCGTTGGCGTTATCCCAACATCAAAGGCTGCCCATCTAGCCACTGAATTAGGGGTCCCAATGTCTGAACACCCTTTTTTGCCGGGTAGGTCCCTACGCTGTTACAAAGAAAGGTATGGTATTCTATTTATTTTATTTAAATTTTATGAAAGTTTTGCGAGTCGCATGCACCCCAGGTATCCACACTAACAAAATTGTAAATTTCAAATTAAAGTTTCTACGGTCTTTAAGCCGCCATATAGCATCTCTGCTACAATAGCTTTCATAGTCGGGAAGCAACTTATCTTCTTAAACAGTCTAAATTTTGATTGATTCCACTCAAACGTCACTTAGAGACAAGAGAGCAAGGCTATTTTATTTAACTGTCCCTGCGTAGATGAAAAGCTCATTTGATAGAACATACAATAAGTACCCACCCCGTCCCTCGACTTCTGCTGTTATTGTTGGTCTTTAACCACCTCTAGGGTTAAACTTATACGTAAAATTTGGCACAAATATCGAGACCACCGCATAGGTTGGTAGTTTGGGTGGTAGCCAATATCCTTTGCCCAGGGATTTAATTGGTTGTTTCCAGTAAGAGTGATAAATATTCGCTGTGGATTGGTTACGCGTGTACCAATTGTATTCACGTGGGGCCGCCACACTTCCGTGTACTGGACACGGGGTTCTTACAGCCGAGATGAACCCTAATCGCACTTTTCTCCCTCTCATCGGTTTCGCATCATCGACCCCACCGGTTCCACAAGAGCAGCAGAGCCAACAGCAGCAAACCTATCAACCGATCTTCGTGATACCGATTTCTGCACCATCTGCTCCTGTAGAACCAATCATCGTGGACCTATCCAATAACGTGCAATCGTCAGTTCCTCCCATAGCTCCTAAACTCGACACTCCAATTCCATCTATCTCAGGAGCAGGTATAGGAAAACGTCCACTTCTTCCATTGGACGATCGAGAAATGAGACGAAAGGTACATGCTAACTAATTTAGTTTTAAACGGGTGAAGTCAACTTTTCCAACGGTAAGGATGAGAAGTAATTTATTTAGTAGGAAATTCCATGGCATTCAAATATGTAAACTGAAACTGTTCTAGTCGCTGTGTGGAAAATGGTGATAGTATTTAAATGCACACACCAGCGAAGCTGAGTAACCAACGCTGAGTTGGATGTGTCTTAGGCTGCTTCGTGCGCAAATGCGTATGGGAGAGGGGAAGAAGCAATGACGCATTTGTGGCGACTAAGGCATGCCTAGAGGGGAGGGTACTACCTTTCTCTGGCTCGCGCTACTTCTCCCCTCCCACCCATTGTGAGTGCATATGCCGTGTCACTCCCCCACCTTGAGCTCATTAATCCTTCACTCTCCCTCCCCCGGTTCAGTAAACACGGCTCTTGGGCTGACTAGCCACATCGTCTCCCTTTCTCTTCTTTCCCATCTAGGTCAAAAAGCAGAACATGGAGCGACGTCGGCGAGCATACATTTCCGACAAACTGTCCTCCCTCTACGATCTCGCCATCTCCCTCATCGGCGAAAAAGTAAATCGTCCTGTTCCCTCTTCTTTGATCTATCTAGTCTAGCGTCACCCTATTAGCACAGCCAGCAGCCTCTGCATCGGTATTTGAGAACCACTTCGTCGTGCTAGTACTAAACTTATAGAATCCTAAAATAATTAAATTATTTTCATTCCTCGTAAAAGACAGGCTGTAAGCTTGGTTCTTTGTTGCTCGGGTTCGGTGTGTGGTCTTGTCTATTGATTTTGTGGACACGTTGCCAATGCGCCGGTGGGGGAGTGAGGGGCCCTCACAACATCACTGGATCGCTCGCTCGCGTCGCCTCTTTGACATGTGAGCCGACGTACCGCCACCACGATTGGCTCGTCGATTAAAAGTGCACTAGTGTGGGATGTAAAAAAATCTTAACTGAATGAAGTTTCTGATAGGATGAAAACTAAGTTTAGAATCTTTCTTTGACTGCATTGCAGCCGCACCACCAATCTCATCAAAGAACGGAGATAGTGGACATGCTAAACCAGTGTGTGAGTGTGCTTCAGAGCCTGCTAGAGTTCCTCAAGACTGAACCCGAACTGCAATTGAAGTTGCGACGTCTGGAGCTTACTTCAATAAAGGAGTCATCGGACAAGCAGCGACGGAGAAGGCAGAGTTCGACCATGTCGAGGGGGGCGGTTGTGGCGGTGAAGGAGAACGTGTTACCTCGTGCCTCAGCATTCACACCCGTCGGTCGAAACCGAATGACGATCACTTCAACGCCGTTGTCCACATCTCCTCGTCAGCACCACGGGTGCCCGCCCGTAGGGCGAGGTCGGAAGAGGGAAAGCAGCGGTCTCAACTGTCTCACCCCTCTCTTGGCCGAGAACACCGCCGCTTCATCTTCCTCTACAACCCCCTCCACTTCCACCTCTTATTCGCTCCTCGAGAAAACCCAACTTCTCAACCGATCAAGGGAATCTTCCCTACCTGATATCTGGCGACCGTATCGAGGTTGAATGAATGCAACACCATCAAATCTGCCATTTTTTTGGGAGGGGGGGGGGGGAAAATGTTTTGCGATCGGTCGTGCTGTATAACATGGCATGAACAGCATTTTATGAACCTTAATTACACAGTCCAAGTCTTTTCGGGGTCTAGGATGCGGATTTTTACCCAATTGGTTTGCATAATAAAGCTTCCTTACAAAGTCATATCGTGCGTTTTGCATTCATTTAGTTAACATACTAGTCTGACATTAGCTGGTACGAATGACGTGGACGTCGCGTTTTGCTACTAGTCATCAAGTCTGATTTTGAGATTCAGCGTCGAACCTGCACAAGGCGGCAGTGTCAATCTGCACTGCCAGCTTCCCACTGTTTGGGGTGGAGCTTTCTTTTTTCTACAGAAGCATGTAAAACTATTTTCATCGCGTGACGCCGCAAGTATACATCTGTACTCATTGAGAGGGTATTCTCTGGACAATCGCCCCACACCATTTGACGGTTACTTGCGACTGATGGGGATAGTCGGTGTTTATGAGTCCAGGTTCGACCGTACACTCTATAAATGTAATCAGGAATGGAAAAGTAGTGGGTTTCAAAAGTGAAAGCAACATCGAAACAACACTGACTTACTTAAACTTACTGAAGGTCCCGCCAACTTCATACGTCCGTGTAAGTGTTCCATCTTCCCCCGACTAAGTTTTGGTTAGTAAGTGCCGTTTTTACTCAGGTTGTGTCCTCAAAAATTTGCTAAGGGTACGGCGGCAATGGTAGTGGAAACTCAGTGTAAAGTGTGAAATTCAAATTTTAAAATGTTATGGACAAACTAAAACCTTCAGCAAAATGTCTTGTTTAAGTAAGCCAGAATAGTTGGAATCAAAGGTCAGTGGTGAACGTTGGGTCACATCTAGCTAAAGTCACTGTGCGGGAGCTTGCTTTTTCCCATTAAATTGATCGACTTTAATGAAAATGGAACTGAAGTAGATGGGTACACATCTTTAGGGTAGTGGGTTTTCGGTTTGGGTTAAGAACAAAGGGACTAGATTCAACACGCATCTAAAAGTTCATGATATCCAGTAGAGGTTCAAGTCTAAACCTATAAGGGGTCACAACGGCTCACTAATTGTTTTTTTTTTTTTTTTTTTTTTTTTTTTCAGATGAAAGAGCCCCTACTACTAATTGGAGCTAGTTTAGGAAGTGAAATCAAGAGTACACCCCTCTTTTAGCATTTGTTTCGTTCTCCCATTATAGACGTGGATTATAAGTGTCGGACGACTCTGGATGGGGGAAGGGCGTTTTTTTGTGTAAAAGTGAAATAGAGTGATTTCGGTGGTTTGCATTCCGCATACATAACACCCCAAGCTCCCTAGACAGGTATTAGCAATGACTCCTGTAACTCGACGTATCTCGTAAACAGCTATGTGAATAGTAAAAGGTGGAGGGTATAGATTTGATTTCACTTACTCGCAACGAAACGCGAATACATTTCTTTTGGCAAGAATTTAAATTAGTATTTTATACTTTATATATTTTTACGATGGGAGATATACACTGAATACGCCAAGGTGACAGCGAGTAGAAGAAACCAAAATTTGTTTCTGTGCACTTGGCAAATCGGACGGTCTAGTGAAAAGTGGGGCAGCTACTGATGTGGCTTAGCGAATCCAGTTTACTGACTAAACTTGGGGCTGACAGCAAAGATGTTAATGAAGAAAGAATAGGAACTTTCCCATATTTTTGAGTCATATGAGAACGGATCCCACATCTGTTGTGCCCTAGACGCCATTTTGTAAACTGTTCAAAAACCTCATAAACTTGACAACCGCAGTTCGATATTGAAAATGTGTAAACTCCCCTTTATTACTTGATTGTTCATCTTTCAACTGCTAAAATTGGAACGAAATGTAGCACACACATTTACGAAGTGAAAGTGGAAGCCTAAACACGGAGACGATAAAACCTAAAACGTTTAAAAGAGATTTCCCGAAAATCAGTTATCACTACCGAGAGATGCTTGGCATCCGCCCGTCAACATTAGCCTAGATGCGAATCTATCCATGTATTACCGTAAGCGGGCGTTTGAGTTGGAAGATTTCTGACAGCCAAAATAATTATCACACATTAATGTAAACGTTTGTTCCATCTACTAAGACGCCCTCTTTATAGCCTACGCGGCAGAGGTGAAATCAACTGCGCTCAACATTGGGAAGCAGTTCAACGAAGTGTAAAAGCAAGCTTACGTTTCCGCATAAGGTCTACATGTCCCAACGCGACCAACTGACCCCAAAGTCGGAACTCAAGTGGGTACCTGTGTGTGTGTGTGTGTGTCGGAGCACACGTGTCGTAAATCAGGCGGGGAGACCCAAACTGTCGGTCGGATTTGTCGGATCTGGAATGGTGAGTGCCCCAACACGTGCGCATGAGCTCGAGCCAAACGCGTTTCGGCATGCTAGTGTCTGCACTCGCGCCACTGCTGCAGCCCCCTTGCTCTCATGAGTGGGAGCTCCCCTCTTCCTCTCCCGCCTTCCCCTCATCGTACCACACACGTACTTGTGGTCACTGTCTTGTGGCCAAAACACACCTGGGATTCCGACCCAGTCGATGTTTAGAGCATGCCTCTGTCGCGGTGACAATGTACGCCACGGGACAGTAGTGTGTATAATCAAGTTTGACTGTAAATGCTGGTTAGTAGAAGCTTACCTGAGGTACTGTCACAGTAATTTTAAATACAAATTGTATAAATTACGGTACACAGTGAATATGTAGTCAGCAGAAGAGCTATTTAAGAAATCTATTGCATAAAGTGATGGGAAATGTGTCCGATGCAGCCTTAAATATCACGATTGAAATGGATGGCGTATCGTTTAGGAGCAGCAACATTTAAAGTCAAAAGTATAATCTACCTAAGTCAGGAAAACTCAAAATGTGAATGCAAGTTTTAACGCCATTATTCCCACTACCCGTGAGGGTAGCTTCAATTGGTTATGGAGACAAAAATATTTTAAATTGACAAGAGAGCCGAAGTGTAAGATAAATTGAAGGCCTATTTTGCAGGTACTTTAGTGTTGTAGCCCTTGAAAATAGTGAATTGAGGGTAAATGCACAAGAGTGGCTGCAGCTAATTTTGTTGGAGAGCAGTAGCACAGATTTCTGGGCCATAATCCAACATTAATCCTGCGCGTGAACACAGGTGCAGTATTCCCAAGGAAAGAATATCAAATGGTGTTCTAATGTCCATGATTGCCTACTTTTTATTTTGAAGTACTTCAATTAAAGCAAATCACTTTACCATTCTTATACTTAAAGCAAAAATTTGCCAAAAAGTTGATGTGTGTGCTTAGATAATTTCGATTAAAAGGAGCTATCGTATAAACTCTTGGAATTGAGACGGCATCAGCCATGCCTTAGATGTGAGCGTAACAGCTTAGTTGGCTGGTGTTGGTGTTTTTTTGGCGCTAAGGCCTTTGAACAGGCGAATTTGAGCTCCTAATGACACTTCGGCTTGTCAGTCATTCTCCTCTGTGTTTATCAAATGCGCCCACCCATAGGTGTTTACTAGGCAGGGGGAATGAATGACAGAGGGTAGGAGGCTCAATTCTTTAAATGGGAGCACACACAGGTTTGGTTGCATCTGTATTTTGTAAAGCCGAAATAGTTTATGGCCGAAAGTTGAGAAGTCTACCCTACATGGAACCTGAGCATCGAGATCTCATACCACTGAGGTGGTTCAGTCGCACGAAATATTACCCCATTTTACTGTGCTAACACACATTCGTAGAGATCGACTGAGTTATTCAACTGATTAATTCCCGATTTTTATCCTGAAACGCTACGCATCTATCAATATTAGAATAAACCGATGAATGTTGAAAGTTGAGTTTATACAACTAAATGGTGTAACAGTTGAAATTAAATGTAAGACGGTTAAATTTTATTCGCCAAGGTAATTTGGCTATGTTTCAAATAAGGTATTTCAAAGGCGTCCAACTTCAATCAGCATTGTTGAGGTGTATTATCGCTAGGTATAAGAGGAGTCAATGTACACTATAGTTGCTACTATAAACTTTAAGTAGAGCGTTCTGAACACTTTAAGCAATTAGGGTCTGACCTCAGACAATCCGCTATTGCTTGGCACTGTACACTACCCTCTATACAGGGAATGTTGGTTAAAAACACTTTCCCGCTTAAAGGCAATCGCATAAATTTACAGGCTCTGTATACCTCAAAACATTTTCTATCAACCGGTACATCACATAGAGATTTATAGATGTAGGAGGCATATGGATGCGCGACATGACTCACACCGACCGAATGAAAACTTTTGGCATTCTTCAACTATCGAGATCTTACAGTTTAGTAATAATCTGTGTTTTGACTCACGCAGAGTGATTGTACCGAAACAATGCCCCGGTGGAAATGCTCTCAGACCTCGAACACCGGATGCGTTACTGATGACTAGCTGCAACCTGTTATGAAAACTTGCAGGCCATGTATACCGTGACTAGACGGCTGGTTTAATTGTATAGGTGAATGGAGACGCACTGTTCTCTGAAAAGGTCACGTACCAGTTCTCTAGCACAAGAGGCCATAAGAAACTGCATGTAGCTGAATTACTGCCTTACTTCTGTGAGGTGAATGATTGCGGGTGAAAAACGTAACTCGTTGACAAACCTTCATAGATTTATTTAAAAAAAGGCGACAATAATGTGTGAATCACAAAGAGGTCAAGTTACAGAATATACGGGAGTTGGGTCGTTTAAAGTTTCTAACTCAGTTATAGAGAAAACTATGGACCTTTTGCATCTTCTTTAAGAAGAGCATGCTAATTCCCCATGATGACTGTATTCATGGATGATTACCTCTTCAAAGAGTCAGCGTTCGATTGACCCTACTCTTTTTCTTTTGGTAATCAGATCCCTCACAGTAAACCAAATTAAGCGCCTGCTCTCATTTCAACAGAACTCCAGGCGACAAAGTGAACTGCTGTTTCATCAATGGTAACTTCAAATTAATGAAGCAAATTAAGGTAATTCGATCACAGCAACACTGCTGCTAGTCAGTCCTACAATTCCAACCTCTCATCTCCATTGACTCAAATCACCTTACTGTGTACCGATTGCATCCAAAATTGAAGTAAATAATAACCAACCTGCCGATAATCGCTATTTTTGTTCCCCAAGCTTCTCATTTGGTTAATGCCAAATAAGGAGCACAGAAGGGATAATCTCAAGCTAGGAATTCCCAAGGCTTAAGCAAAATGATAAGTCAACGGATTTAATTGCCATTTTTTAGCAAGTGAATTGGACTTGATAATGTTTTAGTCAAGGATAAGGATGCATTAAACGTTAATAGATGCTGATATCCGAGATAAAAGTAGAAGTTGTTACTTTATACTACTTAAAAGATCTTAGATACATTGAACAGTGGCACTAATTCTGAACGAGCTCATGATTGGCCCGTGGCGTTAAAGTGCCTTGTTTGTAATTGGGCGCCGCATTCGGAGCAATTTTATAGTACGGCGTATGCTGGGAATATGGCAGTTGAAGGTATAGCGAAATGGAGGAAACGACAGAAGAAAAAAGGCCCTGCTGTTTGACTGTCGAAAGGGCTTTCAAATGCGAATTCAAATGCCAGAAATTCGGCTTCTCTGGCGCCAATTACAGGTTCTTCCCCTTTTCTCAGGCAAGTTTGGAACCAATTTTTGCGTGGATTTTGAATCTCGCTAATGTTGGGGACTTTTCAGAACCTAACCTCAACTGCTCTCACCTATGTATGCAAATTTGTTGAATCACCAAAACGCCGAGACAAGCGTAGATACCATGACAAAAAGAACACAGCTTTTACTAGCTAGTGTTTATGTCTACTTAGTGGATGTGGATGGACGGAGTATTTTACCCACTCTATCGGTTCTTCACATCCATCGGTCTCCTCGTCTGGGCATGCGTAGAGATCCCACTGGAGGTGAAGCGCAGCGAAGAGGAGCACACAAAACTCTACTACTTTCTCTATGCTACCAACTGGGCCTTCCTCATGTACACCATCAGCTCCAATGTCTTCGCCGTTTTCTGTACCTACTTCAACTGCAAAAAGGGTGAGTAGCTAGTGATATCTTCACTCCCGCAAGCAACGTCACAAAAGGTTTGCAGAAGTCCTCAAAGTAAATCTATCATGCATGTCGTCTTGGAAATCCCGAACAACATTTAAGAGATGCAGAGAAATAGTCGCAAGCAGTTAAAATTCTCGATCTTTATTATATGAAGGATTCTGCCCTGTCAAGATACATAAGTTAAGAGATTCACTCGAATAACATTATAAACCTCCCATGACTTCCTGTGTAAGGCCATTGGTGGCAACCCAGACTTCTACAAGTTGTTTCAAAAACACCCAGGTGGGACCGAAGCTCGTAAAATAACAAAATACAGTTTAATCGACGGCGAGCCATAACAGGCAGTAGAATTCAATCGCCATTCTGTTAGAGTCGCAATAAATCACCTAGAAGGGCCTTATGACGCTAATTCATTTGACTGTGAGAAAAAAATCAGAAGGTGCTTGTGACTGAATTGTACGAAATTGAAAAGGCAATTGCAACCTGTTTAACTGTGATATTTTAGAAAAGCCTGTACCAAAGTGGTTTGCTGAGTTACTGTGGTTCTTTTACGGGATGTCAATGAATACAGTGCTGGTCACCTCCCTCGTGTACTGGGCGGCCTTTTGGGATCCAAAATACAGTGAGTTCACCTACCATCTGATTAGGCTTACCGTCAGACGTCAAGTCTGTCTGGTGATTGTGTGATGAAGAGACAGGAACCTTTGTTGCACGCGTAATTCCACTTAACCTTGAGATAAAATTTAGGCATTATTCTAGAGGCATTCCTATTGGCACGCTAGAATGAGGTTGTGATCAAAACACATCTGCCACTTTCCCGTCTACATTTCATCTGAAGTTTTCAGTGGTGCTTTTTAAATGCTAAATTAGGTGAAAATGAAATGGGAACAAGTATAAATTGGGGTAGGAACACGAATAAAGCAGTCTTCTATAAGTAATTAGGAGACAAAAACATGCCGATACACGCGATGCTCTCATTGACAACATTTACCCCTAAGGCAAAAAAATTGGAACGATATTTAAAAAAGCCAATGCTTGTTCTTTAAGCAGGTGGAAAATAAATACAAGCTATAGGATAACCTGAGTCGCTTATTGGTGCGGTGCTTCAACGGGACTTTTAGAGCAAGGGCACCACATAATCATGTCTCAACCTGGCATAATAGTACAATTGATCTGCTCTCAAAACACGAAACATCAGGCTTACCTTGCTCTCTGCCCAATTACCAGAAAAAACCTACCCTGGAATATTTAGTCACTTGCTGGAGCCTTTCAAGGGTAAAGCAGTTGGCTTACAATTTAGGTAGCTTCAATTGGGCTCGGCAGTTGTATACAAGAAGAATGTTAGGAAGATCAGCCTATTTAAAAAAGCCCCCGCTTATGCACAGGCAATTTTCTGACCTACTTTAAAAGCCTTGTATCTTCACCCACACTTATGTGAAAATGTAGCACCATATTATTATAAAAGCCACAGTACTTGAGTGGTTGACGAATGACAAGAGCGGGAATGCGACGTCAGCAGAGAAGGTTTATCGGCTTGGAGGGATGTACCCGATGGAACCCATCTCCTATTTGGTGCAATTTAAGTGCTATGTTGCGGGCCCTAACGAAGGCAAAGTGGACTTGCTGCTACAATCTTTCCTCTCCAAAATTACGAGAAACAAATATGGTCTAATATCAAACCTCAATAAACTAGCATAAAGAATTACTTCCCTGTAGTGTGCGAAATCCTTGTGAATCTAGCCTTAAAACCGCTGCCAACCACTTTAGATTACGGCGATTACTTTTCTTCAGCAGGTTTCAAGGCGCATTATTAGGTCCATAACCACCCTTTTATAGTCGAATTCCCTCATACGAGGCAAAACTTAGCATTAAGGGGAACCGGATTTTTAAAATTACAAGCTTTTAGGACAGGTATCGTCTGTTATATAGTCATAGTGATAAAACTTCATTTTTGCTAAGCGGTTTATCACCTTAAAATAGCTATCAATGTGCACGATTTGGGGAGTTTTCATCAATAGCAAAGGACGGATGATGCAACTTTGGGATATGAAACCAACACTTCCATTGTATGCATCTTTAAGACAAAATAACAAATAGCGGAGAAATGTAAAGCATTCACTGGAATAAAAAATAAAACTTGATTTAATAAAACATCATTAAAAATGTTTAAGATGAGAATTTATGGATTTCAATCCATGACCTATTCAGACTGAACTTTCGCAAAATGTTACTCAAGTTATGCCATCCTTAGGTCATGCAACTAACATCAAGTCGCCAAGGCATCACAAACCGTGGGCGTAGAATAATCAAGTACACAAATGAAACACATCCAAAACCCAACTTGAAAACAAAGTACGCCAGAGTAACATCAATACGACCTTTGAAAAATCCAATCAAGTGCCTTGTCACATGTATTTTTTGCCTACGATGCTCGTAGGTGCATTTAGCCAGTCGTGTGAAGAGACAGGGTTGAAGCTGGGTGCATGTTCCTGAAATCCCATAGGCTTTTAGAACGTTAAAGTGAGTGTCGACCATTAGTCAACATAAATGTTATGCCAAATAACATGATGCAGTTGTGAGGATATTTTAAACAATTTCACTTTTAAACGGAAAGAATTGAGCTTTGCAAAACAGGTGCAAGAGGTGTTGATTCGAACGCATCCACTTCGCTCTAGGCATCCCTATTTAATTAAATGATATAATGGACACTTGAATGAGGGGATTGGTTAAAAACAGCCTGGTACATAGGAGACTCTCCATTCTATAACCGGAATTGGAACGCATCGTGTCCTGAGTAGTATACCTAAACGTCGAATCATCAATGTATCCCAAATTCATACTGATATTCCTCGTTTGGTTCAGCACAATTCTATCGACCGGAGTCGAGACTCAAGCACATAGTGCCGGCGTGTACGGTGTTCGTAGACACGTGGGTAAACGGGCTACCGATCAACATTTTCCACGCTATCTACCCCACCCTTTTGGGCATTATCTATGCCGTCTTCTCCTACGTCTACTACGACACGAGCGACGTTCATCCTATCTACCCCGTTCTCAACTGGAGTAGACCCACCGAGGCCATCAGCGCCAGTGTCCTAGCTATCACCTTCGGCATCTTTATTCAGGCGAGTTGTTTCAAGACTCCCTTCACACCCTCTCTCTCAACTCTTTCGGCTTCAAGGCTCCAGTGCTGATCAACAGAATGTGGGCAGCCGCCTCAAACTATGAGAATAACAGGAAATAATTATGCGCTCCTTAAGTCCTTACTTGCTGCAAGTCGCTCCGCCAATCTACAGCACGATGATTAGACTGATTCGGTTTATTTAAACAGTAAACACTAAATAGAACATGTTAAATCATGAACACGCAGTTAGTCGTTTCCATTGATGATGACACTACTAGTGATGATGCCGAGTAGTAGCTTTAGGCATAGTATTAGCTAAATTTCGACTAGGACTTGGGCAGTGATTCGATAAACAGTAATATTTAGCACGAGCAACATGTTTGAAGTTGGAAATAATTTGCGCAATTTTGCGGCGATACAATCATCGTAGCACGCGCAGGCTCAAATACAGGTGTTTCGACATGGTTGGCATGACACCGCTACTCTTTGTCAGTGTGATTAGACTTCCATTATGCTTTTTAGGATTAGTGAGAAAAATTCCCTCAATTTGGCCACTTTACTATTATGGAGACTGCTCCAGAAAAAATCGCTGAAGAGTAAATAGATCAAAAACGGCAAAAAGTCCCCAATAAATCGCAGCATCTGTATTATCCTTTGGGCTGGAAGTGACCATACCACAAATGTACAAAAGGACCTAGCAAAGCTCCATATCATCAGCGTGGTGCCCTAAGAACAGAAGACTGGAAGAGCCTGATTAGTTAAATACGATTGTCACTAACAAGAAGAACCTCTTTCTAAAACGCGTTGACAGTCAACACTCATGCAAATAGACGCACTAAATGGTTCCACATTACAATCTCTAGCTACTCCTGTTTCTACTCTATGTCGGTCGTATCACACTGAGCGCCCGACTGGGCGGAAGAGGCACGACAGTGGTCGAGGAGTGGTGGAGCAAGAAATCCGGACAGGCGGCGGCCGAACCTTACATTGAAATGGAGGCCATCGATGAAGAAGCTAAATAGAAGGGGAGACTCGTTTCTCCATCTTTTCACAATTTTGCTTCGTTTCGCTTTGAAAGTGAATAAAAAATGTTGGTTGCGTTCCCACTTATTTGTAATAACCTTTGTGTAAAAAATCCCTCTTTATTCTGATTAGATGCATCTTCCGGGATTCAGTGAACTTCATGTAAGATGATGAAGAGAAATAGGTCGTTCCCCCGGAGAGCGATTTTAAACAATAAAATAGCAAAATGTTTTCGACACTGTGATGTAAAGGGGACAGCATCGACGAAGAAGATGCGCTAAGATTTCAAAAAACCGTACGAATTGCGGTGGCAAGATTAATGCAACGTGATTGCAAAATTGGTATTGCGGTTTTGGCTTACGAGAATAACTACTTAATTCAATAATGAGCGTTGGTGTAATCTTCCACTTACACCAATTTACGAGGACAATAATTAAGAAACATCCAAGTACCGATTAACAAGCATCAGAGCATAAAAGTCAATGAAAAACCACGACGCTGCCTAGATGGGAAAGCTTATTTCATTCAGCATCTACGTTCATACAATCGGCTAGGAAAATTGTTATTGTTTTGTCATAAAAAACCTCAAATTTAATTGACTTCATGAGTACATTTATCAGTAGCACATGATGGACACGATGAGAAACTTGTTAGGTGTGGGTGTAATAAACCAAAGACACACGCAATTACAGTAGAATAGAAATAACGTGAGTTACTAACATATGGAATTCACGCAACAAAAAGGTATAGAGTACTTATGAGGCTTCATCCGTATCATTGGATTCTGCACCAGTTTGACGTAAGTAAGCGTATTTGTCCACCTTAGGAGGCCTTCGAAGGTGTTCAGAATCGCACATTTCCATGGAGTTCAAGTACGTCGCAATGCTTGATTTTACATCGAGGGATTTTGGAAGATCAATGTAGCGGACACGTTTTCCTGATATGCTTATTTCCTGCCAATATATAAATAACGTTACTTATTAAATCAAACTGGGAACCTCAGCCCTGACGTAATTAAGCAGAACAAGCCAAGGTAAAATACGTTGAAGGCTCCGATGAAATGTGGGGAAACTGCCTTAAATAGTCAGAATAAAGTATTATCGGGCAGTAGTTCGGAAACATTAAAGATTTTTATTGAAGTAACTAGGATGATGGATTAATAACAAGTGACCGTAGCGATTCGAGGTGCATACAGGAAGCAAGACGGCAATAATAATGAATCAAGTCAGCTTTTGAACTGACTTAAAGGCCAAACCTGGAAAGAATATGAAGAACAACCTATAAGTAGATGCACGATAATGAAAAACAGCGTTGCCATGACATGCAACAATGTGTATCCAGCGGCTCGCTGGAAATTTCTTATTTTGATGTTCAGTATAAATGAAAAGAAAAAATAATGAAGTTTTATAAGTATTACATAGTTTGTACGACCCACAGTCAAAAACTTGTTCAAAGAAAAAAACTTGAAGTAACAGACAAAGACACTTAGTAACAAAGCAAAAGGGAAAGCCACAGCTTCACAAAGGAATGCTCAAATAATGTTGAAACCGGTTTTATAAAATTAAAAGTGACCAAGCCAGAGTTTGTACTAAAATAGTGCGAATAAGAACTTGTCCAGTTGACAAATAAGTTGATGCAAATTTTTTGCCCTGACAGCTTAAGCCGTTCCTTTTGATTTTCGTGGAATTTTGTGGAGCATTATCTAGACGAGTTACTCTCAAAATATAGCTTCAAGAAAAATAATAATGCTATTTTATAAATCGGTGGGAGCATTAGCAATACGTGGATTACAACAGCGCACTTACGAATTGCAATATAATTTTTTAAACGGGGTGGGGGGAATCAAGAATTCCAGTTTTTTAATCAAAATTCGGGGAAGAGTGATACTCCATGAGTGAAAAAGACATTTTTCCGAATAATGATAGGTATGGATGGGACTAGTTTCAAAAGCAAAAAGCGGGTTTTGATGGATAAATTCAAAACTGCCATTCTACATTTCAGTAACCGTGGCAATCCAAAAGGGAGAAAAACCCATTTTACATATCTCAAAAAAAACACTAAACAGGCTACTCAGCCAAGATTAGCACAATTGAGCAATTGACGTCCGGGGCAAAAAGACCCTAGGGAGAGTCAAGGAGGAAGACTGACTCACTTCAAGGTTGACCAGAGGGGGGGCACGTCGACGAGTAGAAGGGGGAGTGACAGTGACACCGCTTTCGAGATGGAGGTTGAGGAAGCCATCGACGAGGGTGAGAAGGCCCGTGATCCGTGTGTCGTCAAGGAGGGTTACACATACCCGACTCCCCACCAGCGTCGCGGGCAGCACTGCCAACAAACTCGAGGAGATGCGCTTCTCGGCACGAAGAAAGGACTCCGCTTCCCGATCACGTGCCGTCTTGCTGCTGCCGCTTTTGTTCGAGGCCATTGCATTAGATGCTGGTAGCAAAAGGCAACAGAAAGATGTCCCCTTTAATCACAGGAGGTGACCACTACTAGGACCTCAGTGGACGCTGGATTTGAAATTCTATAAAAGACCAAAATGGGGGGATGACGTTGCTTTCGTGCTTAATTAAGAGTTTAATCTAATCTAAAGACGACTTCTTATTATACACAAAGGTTACAGTTGGACTACGGTGCGAAGGCTGGTTGAGTGTGTCAGTTCACATAAATTCCAAGCCTTCAAGTTTACATGTTTCATAAAAATCTAATGAGAATGTATTTGGAAAAGTACCTGAATGCATGAAAGAAGAGACTCAGATATTACGTCATGTGCGAACGCACACATGTATCCTGCATAGATTAAACCAACCAGATATTTATACTCATGGTACTTGTAAGATGATGCCTCCCAGTTCTCCAAATTCGAATATCATAGGATGCCACGCTTGGAACATTGTGGAGACAACTACCAATAAACACACCAAGAGTTTGTCCACCACGATATCTTCAATAGAAGATGCGAGCATGAGAAATGTCTGGGAAAGCGCATGCGCTGCTTTTGAATACTTCCACTCTCCCAAATTACATATTTTTCAAATTGTTGAAACTAGCTGTTACAAAGTGCACCACAGTGTGACAGTTGTGTCCGATATCCCCAATACGACACTCCATCAACCGAAGACTAAGAACACTTCAACAGAAGATAGCCCAAGTCATATATAACCGTACTTAAACCGTAATTGAACAAGTGGATGATAATCGAATCCCAAAATCTATTTTTCCTCATGCGAGAGTTCTGTGATTGCATGAAACGTATCAGCACATCCGATAAGCTACTGGGCGATGAATGGGGATGAAACCTAGACAACCCTCTGCAAACAAAATTAAGACAAAACCTGGATGGATATAAACTAGTTCATATGCGGCACCATAATGGCATTGAAATGATGATCGAAGGTTATTCACCAACAGTGCTTAATCCTAAACGCAATAATTCCTCCTTCCAAACGGCTAAATATCATCGACTGGTAGGTCTGATACATTTTGGCCAAGTAAACTTGGAGATAGGAGACCTCAAAATTTTAGATGACAAAAATGTTTGTCAATAGGAAATGGTAAATGGAAGGACAAATTTGGCTCATCTCTCAATTTTCAGGTCAAGGACCTCATTTTTGACATCATTACATCCAAGGTGGGACAATGAGATATGCAGAGCGCAACTTACCCGGATCACATTACGCCTGCTTTTCATCACATCGCAACCTTCATCAATGCTGACAGTCTTACCCAACTTTAAACTAAACATCTGCACAAAAGTGTGGCCTAAATTGGCACTGAAACGTGGACGCAAATCAGGACGAGCATGAAAAGGCGGAAATTTTGGGTAGATTTTCCTGACATACGAACAGAAGTTCTGATTCAATGTGTTTTAAAAGGAAGACAACCGGAGAAATTGCACGACCACAGAAAGATGCTGATGGATTATTAACTAACTTTCTGCACTGACATAGTTACCAGGGTACTCCAATGCAGCAAAACAAACTATTTAAAGTATTGATTGGCGAAGACCTATTGCATGAATGGAATAGCTACCAATGACAGCGCACACAAGCCAAACCTTCGACTTGAAGCATTAATGTGGCTCAGAGGATAGAAAATAAATTGCAAGCACTGCATAGAAAAAGAAAGTGGTTTAAAACGTAAAATTATATAATGAAACTGTACGAGTGAATCAAAGATAAAATAAACAAATTTGAGTCATTGGAAGCAACTTCAGCACGTAGTTACTTCGACATCCGCCGCCAGTGAATTGTAGCCCCTTCCCCGATAGCGGTAAAACTGTATGCAAATCTATAAAAGTGGGGATTTTATTGGAAGATGTGGTCAACAAGGCATTAATTTGCTACTTTTCCTAAGAAACGAATACATTAAAGTAAAACTAGGTAAAAGACGTCAAAGATCCTACTTTTATACTCAAACATTGCTACAAACGTAGAATTAAAACCGTTAAATATGGCTTACACATCATAAATTATTTTTATATTAATTTGCTTTACAGATATGATGGTCAATTCCCCTCAAGTTAATCGTTCTCTGTTATTATCAGTTATTCACCAACTTTTACGTTAGCACCATTGAAAAATCTTGCATAGCTAAGAAAATTGGGAAAAGTTAAGGAAATAACACGATAGAGGCCTAAAGGAAAAGCTGATAAGAATACCTCCTCAATGCCTTGGGTAACAGGAAAGCTATAGAGTACACAGTGTGCATGAAGATACACGGGTACCCTCACAAGTCATTCACTGTGGTGGCATAATCTATCGCATTTATGTAGGTATGTGGAAAAGATGGAGAAAAAGAAGAGGTAAACGCACGATGAGGTCAAAAAGGACGACGCCGAGGGAACCAAAGAGCCAAGGGAGGGCGCGGATGATAAATGTGAGCTCAGCGGAAGTCAGAAAGATCTGCAGTGCGTACGCAACGTTGCCTACGATAGCGAAGATGAAGGTTACTGGACTAAGGCCCTCCGTTGAGCCACGTCGCCACTGAAACCACAAAAAGAAGCTTCAATTTATGAGATACGGGAAGAGGGGTAACTTGGCCAGATTCTCAGAGCATTATTTTCACCGTTAGATAAGTTAGACCAGCCTTTTAAATGATGCTTTTATGAGCCACCTTCGATGTCGAATCGGTGTTCTAGTCCCCGAGTCAGCCAAATAAACTAAACCTTACTTGATCAGTTGTATGTTCTAGACTTTAACATGGCAATGATATCTTGAGGAAAGAAAAGCAAATTAAAAATTTTTGCTACTTAGTAAGAACAAGGCTTACATTCTTTATGATTTGAGGGACTCTCGAGGAAATGTAGATTGAAGCGGAGATCCAGCCTAGCACGTACCCAACGATCAGACTATTAGTCTATGAAGAAGAGAAACGAAGGCGTGCTTACATTTTTTGGCACATAAACAGCAAAAGCACTTCGATTTCTCGAATTGATTATTAATGTGATAATTTCAACCTCTGAAATTCATAAACATTACTAGTTTAAGTACCGCGAATCACTTTTAATTAAACACCATAGACAATATTAAATTTAATAAATAAACACCCGCAGGGACGTTGATGAATTTGATTGGAAACTTTGCCAAGAATGGGAAGAAAACAGTTTTACACGTGATGCACGGAAGCGAACCGGTCACAGTGAAAAGGAAAATACGGCAATAAACTTGACCAAGCAAAAAAAACTAAGCCACACTTATCGTTGCTTCCTATTGATAGCAATCCAATTTTATGTTTGTAAACATATCCTAATCGAAGAAAGAATATTCTCATCAATCTTAAAGGCAGCGATATCGAAGAACGTACAGGAAACAGGGGTTCAGAACGCAAGGCAGGACTGGGAGTTGACTCAGCGGCGGGTAGGTGACGAAACATGGAAGAAGGAGTCTTGTGATCAGGAGAACCTGCTAACCAAAAGGGTCCAATTAAGCACAGAAATCCGAAGGGGCAAAACACAGTCAATGTTGAAGATGAAGGCGGTCGTTCAGAACTGACACCAATCGCATCGAGCCCAGAATCATTCGGTAGGGAGACCTCAATAGACGTGGCGAAGTCTAGAAGACATTAAGGCAATAGATTGTACATGGCTTTATAACGATGACCGTAAGGAGATTGCCACAAAATAAACTTTAACAACTTAATTACTTTGGAGGATCATTTCGTGCTTGAACTTGCAGTATAAGAATTGAAGAATTTGAATTAAATCACCAAGTACGCCGATTGCAGCCATGATTGTCTGAAAGAGGTAAGAAGAGGTTATAGTATCAGATGCTCAAACTACAAAATTGATCAAATGAGGACGTTAAAAGTTGCAAAACCATATGCGAAAGATTGAAATATGTAAAATTGAGTAAGGGACAGAAGCCGACTTAAAGACCTAACCGTGTTAATGGTTGAAAGCTTTTACAAACATGAGCCAAGCTTTAAGTAAAAGAGCTAATTCAGCCTAGGTTTTCCAGACGTAAGGCTCAAACAAAATTAAAAAAAGAAAAAAGTACGACAAAACCTTACAAAGTCGAGAGTGCCAACTCGCCTGTAGAGGTAGCTGATGAACGAAAACACAACCAACAAGATTAACAGTGTCACCGATTAAAAAACACGCAAGCAAAAAAGGAGAAACGGCTTGGTCGGGAATACCTTTGCGGCAATTCTCTACGATTTGAGGAACCGCAAATACGACCCATATGGTGGCAGATAGGAGACCGAAAGTAACTGCAACTATTTCCTGTGGAGATACAGCGCACTGTCGAAAGACTATCCAAATCCACTGAATACCGTCTGTACAGTTAGCCTTGATTGGTGTCGGTTCACTTCGAATAAGTAACAATGTGCAGGGAAACGACATGACTAAAGGGTAAGTAAGGGTCATGTAAGTCTTTACAAAGATGCACCCTCTCTCCTTTTGAGAGAGCTACTTCCGACAAGCAAAGAAAAAATCTACTGAGGCTGTAAATGCAATCATAACATTTGGCCCAGACTTATGGTTTTTTACATAAATAACAACGACATTGAAGACGGCACAACGAAAACACGCTTTTAAAAAAAGAATTATGGGGACGCATTCAGCAACAACAACAGCACCAACAAACATTAAACGGTACAAGTGGGGACAAACCCGCACAAGTCGGAAGATTGATTTCAAAAGTTTCGTCTGCCCAAAAGTCGGTTAAAACAGGTGAATGAATAATTGACGCAATTTCGTACTCTAGAAGGTAACGTCAGAACGTTAGCGGGTTTCGGTATGCATCACATTGATGGAATAGTGTTACTGGTTTCAAGACAAGTGACTTACAGTCCTTTAGTAGGTCCGTCACCAAGTTGTTACTTTGATCTAATGTTGCCGTTTATGTTTGATAATATCAGTTGTGTTTGTGACCGATTTATATTGACCCTCAGTTTCCCAAAAGAGGGAGTTTTGGCTACACATGGTGGTGGGTTAAATTTGTAAGTTGGTTATTTTAAATTGCCGTAGTAACTAGATGACATGAGAGCAACATATGAGTCGTAACCCAATGCATTGGACAGTTTTTGCTGCAAAGTATGGATGCATATGAAAATGTTTAGGTAAAAATACCCCATTTTAATATTGCAAATTATTTTAATAAGACTTACTCACATTTCTTTAATACGCTTAGCTAAATGCATGTTAGAATACATATAAAACGTATTTAAATGTCAGTGACAGGGAAACTTAAGGTTTTTAAGTCTAATACGTTAGGGATTTGGATTAGCTGTTAACATGTTGTTTAGCTACGGTGACGTAAACGTATGCAACATGTTTATAGCGCGCGGCCCTATTGCCCTTTTCAGTAATTTTCCTTCCGAGAGGGTGGGTTGATAGATGTGGTGCAAAATCCTACACTTGATATTTCACAGCTAGTTTAGCGAAAAAGTTTTTGACTGCTGGTTAGTCATTCATCCTCGATTATCAAAACGTTTTATGTTGGCGTACTTAGTAACCTCGTCTTTGGGGTCTTACAAGGAATAGATCTTAACTGCTAGGTATTATTCAGCTATTGGCTAGAATGGCATCCTTAAAGCGAGTTGTATTGGTACTTTTTGGGGCTATATAACCATATCAATCAGTGAAGTTGACCCTAAGCACTTGTCTACAATGTAGCTGTCTCCTTATTCTGTGGAATGGGTCAAGGGATGGAGTTTGTGTGCGTCGTTAAGCCCTGCTGGTCTTGTGTCCTTTTTCTAGGGAGTTAGATGGCTTTTCTTGCGAATGAGGGACGCATAAGCTTGCCTTTCTAGGTTTATTTAGTGTTTCATACTTTGATCCCATTTGTAATAATAGAATTCTGAGCTGCACCTGCATCCAAATGCGCTTTTTGTCATAGCTTTGTATTTATGCCTCTTCCAGTTTGTGTTCACCGCGTTTGATGTCTGAAACCCGCAAAAGTGCAGGTAAGGAAAATGAGGGGCCGTTTCCATATGACACGGAAACAATTTACGGTGAGGCCGGATACTTAAATCTTGTCCGACGTGTCCTGACAGAAGGAGTCTTGCGACAGGATAGGACTGGGACAGGAACATGGTCGATTTTTGGACCTCAAATGCGTTTTGATCTGCGAAAGGGGGATTTTCCATTGCTGACAACCAAGCAGGTGATTGCTAATTGCGATGTGATTCTCGGAGTGGCGACGTATCATACACAGTATATTTGTTTGGTTTCTCTTTTCATTTGTACTGTTTTTTTTTCCTCCCTTACGATTGCACCTAGTATTTTCTTGGGTCAATCTGAACATGCACGACTTATATTTTCCAACCATCTTTTATTGAAGACATTTTTTAGGGGTATACTGGAAGAACTACTTTGGTTTATACGAGGTTCGACTGATTCTAAGGAACTCTCTGCAAAGAAGGTACGGTTCTGGGACGCCAATGGATCTCGGGCTTTCCTCGACGAACTGGGGTTCACTGATCGCGAAGAGGGTAACTTTTAAAGTCGTACTTATTATTCTTTTACCGTTTTGTTTTGTATCAAACATACATCAATCGGTAGGTGTACCCTGTCAAGCCTTTTTATATTGCAGGCCTCATTTTCAGAGTTGGTTGTGTAAACTTGTGTCAGTACAGCTGAGGTTTCAGTCGTTTCTGATGCTGTGCTATAGTACCGGCCTCTCTAAGCCCCATTTTATTGGAAAATGGAAATAATTACCATTTTTAATTCACTTGATATTTATTCTCCAACTTCAATTCTTTATGCCTACCAGGGTCGCTCTTATTACTATTCCACACAAGACGACTAATTAAAGTAAATGCTCAAATGTATTATAATTATGTTGGAAATCTTTACAAGTGCCCTAGCTAAGATTGAGGTTTTTCTAACCCAACCCTATAACATCTAGTAAACTCCTTTATATGAACAAGTAAGAACAAATAAACAGTAAATCTTAGTGATTATGAATTGGAAATTTGGGTGAAACAGGTTGCACGGGGCATTCCGCTATTGGGCGATATTAATTAGTAGTTGATTTTAGTGTAGTTTATTGAGCACTCATGATCGTGAGTTAACAGCGTATCACGTTAATTCTTTGAGCCTCGGGGTTTCCGCTCGCCTTCATTTACACGTGCTACCTCATCAATATTGCTGGCGTTAAATCAAGTATTTTGTAACTGATTCTGAAGGGGAGAGATGGTATTCAACTGTGTCACTTATGATGTGAGATTTGGTTTGAGTCCATAGTCACGCCTGCCTCGTCATTTCAGGTGACCTTGGTCCCGTCTACGGCTTCCAATGGCGTCACTGCGGTGCTGACTACATCGATTGCAAAACGGACTACTCGGGACAGGGGGTTGACCAGTTGGCCAACTGCATCAAACTTATTCGTGAGCGCCCCTGGGATCGTCGTATCCTCCTCGTAGCGTGGAATGCAAGAGGTGCGTCCCCACCGAACAACGCTAATTTAAAGCTTCTCTATCTCACTTTATGCACTTAACGGAGGGTATGCGTCCTTGTTTTTTCTGTGAACTATCGAATCATTTTCTGTAGGATGGAGAGGAGTGTGTAGTGTTCATTGGTTGACTGAATTTCGCTTGTCGAGTGAATCTTTATGAGCTTTTATTGGATGAGTCGTATGACCACCTTGGTATTAATGCCCTACCACAACCAAGTAAATTAGTTTCGCGCGCAAGGTCAGCTTTATTGGGTCCATTTAAAGTCCAGTGGATTACCTTTGTGCTGATTTGTTTGTCTGTACTGCGATGAGGAAACCTGTGCTTAACACAATGAATGCCAGAAATATTATAATTTTATCGACGTGATTCGACTCATTGACAACTTAAAGCATATCTATGCTCACAGTTATGGAAGGTATTAGGGAGTTAGATTTAGGTGCTGGATCGAATGTTTTGCATAGTCTACCGTGGTTTTGAAATGCCGTCGTTTCAGTTCATGAGTTCTTTTATTTTCAGACCTCCACAAAATGGTGCTGCCACCGTGCCACTGCCTCGTGCAGTTCTACGTTGCGAACGAGGAGTTGTCCTGCATGCTGTATCAGCGATCCGGTGATATTGTGAGTTTAGTTGGTTCCCACTGCGTTAGCAACTGCGGCTTTCCACCCATGTGGGGCCTGTATCCACCAATGAAATTTGTAACTACGTCATTTTCACGACATTCGCGCCTTGACCCTCAAGGTCGGGGGATGACGTAATTGTGCGTTAGGTTATCTTTAGTAGTTTTCGAACGTTGTCCCCTCGTTTTGAAGTATGGGATGTGGTGCTCTCGTATTTTTAAGGATTTTTGTGGGCAATTGTTGAGCTGCTGCCTTTTTGACTTCGCCGAATAGCGATAATAACCGCTAACCTTTCAAAAGGTCAGAAATCCGAAGTGAAGCAATTTCACACTGATTGTTTGTTGGAAAATATTGAGGAGAACTAAAGTAATGGTTTAAGACGCATTTTTTTAACGATTTTGCAAAATGAAAACATTATTTCATTTTAAGTACACCGTTTAGTACGTAACAAAGGTATGTGCAAATTAGATGCGATTTTTGCGCCAGTCTTGACTTGGATCTTTTAGGGTTTGGGTATACCGTTCAATATTGCCAGCTACGCCCTCCTGACATTGATGATCGCGCACGTCACCGGCCTAAAGCCTGGTGAATTCGTCCACACTATTGGTGATTGTCACATCTACACTAACCACCAGGAGGCGCTCGAATTGCAGGTGTGTAATGTTGTAGAAGAATTTCACCTGTACTCTTTCGTCATCAATTAAACTGAAGGCAGACGATGGCTTAAAATTGCACTGGTTGTCTTCACACACACCATTTTTACTGCAAAGTTTAACTATAACATGCAACGATTTCCTAGTGTTCACATCATCACTAAGCTTACCACAAGGCCGAGTATCAGTTTTCGTATTCTTCTTCATCACTCCGCAGATAAAACGAAAGCCGAGGCCATTTCCCAAACTTCTGATCAAACGGGAGGTTAAGGAAATTGACGAGTTTATTGCAGAGGACTTCGAGCTGGTTGGATATGATCCACATCCAAAGATTGTCATGCAAATGGCAGTCTAACTTTCCGGTTCCCGTGCTAATCGTGCTTATCAATTAAACTTTTCGTATACTGTTGCCAACCCTTTTTCATTTCGCAAAATATCAGTAAAATCACTCGCACGAATACTACTTCATGGCTTTCGAGAAAAGCTCCATTTGTAAGTGAAAGTTTTGTGGTATTGTGTAGTCAGGTGTCTGCAACATTGGTTCCGCTGAAGGCCTCAAAAATACCTAGTAGATGTGAAACATCGCCTAGACAAGAATCTTATCGGGATCCGTCTCACTGGTATCGGATAAGCCCTACAGAATGCCCTCTCTTTGGACCTAGGGTGGGAGAGGTAATAGTATGCATAAAAGTGACTAAGGAACTTCAAACAAGATGGGAGCCACTTGGTGTTACTACTGTGCGAGGTCGAGCAAGAGATGAGGAGTGTTGGTTAGATCGCCTGAGGCACTGCTGGAGTTCTGTTACCGGTTTGGCTGCTGCGGGGTTGTATCGGTAAATCGTTACGATGTTTTAAATATGACGGGAGATAGTGCTGGGGTGGTACCTTGTCAGGTGCGAAAAAGGCCGAGCCAGACTCGATGGTCAAAAGTCCAGTAAATTTTAGTGTATGTAAAAATCAAGTAACTGTGAATATATGGAACAAGAAAATAGACGTTTGTGAAAAGCTCCTAGTCTTTCTAAATTTCAAGCTGAAGGCGTTTGGAGGGAGGCACATTGTCAAATTGCGGAGAAACCTGAGCGCCAATGGCCCGCCTAGCGCATGGCGCAAAGCGAGGGTGTAAATGATGAGGTGCCCGTGTGGTTAAACACAGTTTGAACATCAAGATGCTGCACGCGTCTGCGACTGAGGGACCCTCGGGTATTTCCTAATGTCTATTAAACTGAACAGCAAAGGCTACTTATGCTTTTAAAACTAGTAAATTAGTGATTAATTGGGTAATAATTCTAAATTATCCTTTTTCACTCACTTTACAGAGGCGTGTTCAGGTAAGTGCAAAATATAGTACCCAGCATTACTTTGCATTAATTTTAAATTAGTGCCAAAAAACTACATCTGCCTAAGATCAAACAATGAGTAGATAACAAACTTTACTTTGAAGTTTGTTTTAATTTACCACCACAGGAACGATCTTCTGAAGTTCGTAGGTCAGCATTCGAAGCATTGGGACTACTTAGATGATGGAAGTTACCAACTGGGATCCCCTTACAATCAATGGAGATTGTGCTTTGATGCCCAGTGCTCAAACTCGAATAAAGACGGACCTGAGAAAATTTTACCAGTAAGATACTGGAAATATAAAGGCAATTCTAGAGATCCACCGGAGGGTATTGTCGTTACTCCGTGTTCCGAAAATCTGGGAAAAGTTTACGCCGTCATCAATGGTCCTGCTGACACTCCTTACGAAGGCGGTTTTTTCATATTTCTTATTGCCTTTCCTACTGATTATCCTTTGAGTCCGCCTAAAGTACGCATCATCAACACGGGTGGAGGAACTGTCCGATTTGGCCCCAATCTTTATGCAAGTGGAAAGGTACTCCTTATTTTTGTTTCTATTCCTTTTTTGGTTCGGATTGGTAGAAACCCGACTTAGAAGTACCTTTTAGTCTAGGCACGAGAGCTCAAGATTATGCTTCGCTATTTTAGGTATGTCTTAGTATTATTGGAACATGGTCAGGTCCTCAATGGTCACCCATACAAAATCTGACATCTGTCTTACTGTCTATTCAATCTCTCCTGAATGCTGAACCTTACTACAATGAACCAGGATACGAACAAACATCCAATCCGAGGGCCTCGGCCCACTACAACGAAATGATCAAGCACGAGACTCTTCGCTGTGCCGTTTGTGACGTTATGGAACGGAAAGCTAGCTTTCCAGATGACCTTTTCGAAATAATGAAAATCACATTTTTGGAGCAATATGATGACTATCTTCAAGCTTGTAAAGATGGAGCTGCGAAAGACAAAATGCCTATGCGCGATCCCTTCAGTAACTCTGGGGGTACTTTCCAGTTTAATGCCATTCGGAGTCGTCTTGAGGCACTGAAGGCAAAATTCTAGTCGAACTTAGAAAGCCGAAATTGCTACCTGTATATCTGTTCTTTTTTTCACCCGAAATAGTTTGCAATCGATGACTGTTTAAACTTAATACGTTCCTTCATTAAAATCTTGATAAATATTTGTCAACATTCGTACTGCTTAATTCTATGTCCACTTGTATCAATGAAATTGTGCTTTATCGATACTAAGACCTTCGCAGTGTACTCTCAATGGTGCATGATGAGTATATTCTGCTATTCTCAACTTGTGGCTGGTGGGTCTGTAGGTTACTTTTGAACGAGGTGGAGTGGTGGCTCCTCAGACTACATTCATTTTGCTTTCTGCAACATCTTGTGGTTGGCCGGCGAATATATGGCTTGTTTTAGGGTCTGGAGTAAATCACTTCAATTATAATTTAACCAATGATAATGTTCGGATGGAACTAGTTTAGCGAACTTAGGTAAATCTATAGTGTGGGTGGCGCCTCTGAGACCGTGGTAAGATAGAAGGTAGAGTGTTCCATTCTCGTGGTCTGCATATTTCGGTGGATCTGAGGGTCATGGAGGGGCTCACCGATTCGACAAGTCTGCTGAGCTGCCGCCAGCTTTGTCCTAGACCCAAAAGTGTTGTTATTTCTAGGTCTTGTATTGAGATAGTCCGTCTCCTTAGAGTGATTCATGACGTGCTAGAGCTAGGGTAAGATTTACTGATGGGAATTTGTAATATCCAAAAAATTGCAATCGACACTTGACGAGACATCCTTTTCGCTCTTGATGCCGGGGCCAAACGGATATCGTTTTCTTGTCATGTGAGTTGAATAAATCTCACAGCTGGTAATCGTAGTCACTCGCTAATTTTTTTACTAAGGCGAATGATGTCGTTCAAGAATGTAAACACGCGTAGGCGAGGAGCAGACAGTGAGAACGGCGACAGTTCTGGGTGATTTTTGTTTCTAAAATAGATCATTCACCGAATCAATAGCATATTTTGCATGACCACTTTCAACACCTTTCTCTTCAAGATCGAGATGGCATTTGTCAACTTTAATATATACCTAAGTTCACGTGTCCCTGAGCTTAGAACTAAATGCGGCTGGTGCGGTAATATTGTGGATATGGTCGGGCCTACAAGATCAGCTCACATCAATTTTTTTCTCGTAGCCCAAAGTACACAAAAATCGGAGATGACTCATGCCAGTCGCCAACACGCTTCAGAGATGACCGTGTTGTAAACCGTCGGGGACGAATAGTACTCTGGGCTAGGGGGTAATGACCTCAATAAACGTGCTGACTTCGACTTTCATGTGACAGAGGCAATTACAACCGAACCCCACGAATCATATTACAAGATATGACCTCATGAAGTACTCAATTTGACTAAAATCCAAACAAGAGTTGGAAGAGAATTTTACTCAAAAATGCTCCGTAAAAACACAGCCAGATAGAAAAAAGACGCAGTCACGAAGAGTTGCTAGTCCGATTTGGAATGCTTTTGTCCACGCACATACCGAAGTACAGCTTTCAACTTCTGGCAGAGCCGAACGATGGGGGGTTTGTCGACTACTTCCTCATCACCCTCGGCAATCACGGGTACCATGGCTGAAGTAGTGAGTTTGTGCACTCCGCCGAAGAGCAATGCGACCACGGAGCAGACCAAGCAGAGGGCGTTGAACGGCATGCTGAAATCGGGCACGGGGAGGCGAATGAGTGGCGTCTCGGAGTACAGCCGCACAAAACCCTCGCCTATCTCAAGCTCCGTGTGATTAACGGCAGAACTGAAAAAAGGGAAGTAATATGAATATAAGCTGTGGAAAAAGCACAAGAAGGCTCGTTACTTGCGTGGCGGATATTTATTCGCAAGCATCCGAAGTATCTCGTGATTCAATTTTACTGGAACAAGTGATGCAAGTATTGCTGCATGCCACTAGCGATAGTTTCCTAGGCGTTCTGTGTTGATAATAAAAGTACTTTTAGACTGGCATGCATTATAAGGTCTCCAGGGCTAACTCGCATTACATGTGCTATACCGTTGACTTGAATAACGCTGCTTATTAACAAGGGGAAGAGTAGACTTAATAGCGATTTCTTGTGCATGTTCTGCTGCTTTAATAATCCTTACAGAAGAATTCAGCTTCAATGAGATGGCTGAAAAAATTGACATACAGGTATTCGGCGTAAGTGCTGGCCCGTGGAGGCAACGACAACTCCCAGGTGATAGGGTTGCTGGCAGCCCGCTGTCGGTTGAGTTGGTCAGGGGAGAGCTGGTAAATGACAGTAGCGGCAGGCAAGAAGATGCCGTGATTCGCATCGGGGAGGTATTCATTCCAATGCATGAGAATCTTCTTGAAAGCATAAGAAACAGTGACGCAAGCTCTCGAAGGAAGAGTAAGCAGAAGCTCCAAAAAGGCCATCTGCTCTAGCTGAACGCTGGGCTGGAATATTACCCTATCTGTTTGGATAGGGGAAAAGTGTATAAGTAAATGGGACAATAAAAACCCAACAACTTAAAACCAAAGCAAAACACTAGGCGGTAGGGTCAGTGGTGTGAATTTTGCAAAAGCAAGACTACTGGTTTTTATAGAACAAGAGCAAAACAAATGACATCTATTACATATTTGTAAAAGTGGAAATGACAGCAACTAGGAGGAAACAGTGATCAAGCGTGATGCCATATCGATTGGATGACGAACCTACTGACCATCTAGAGGCACAGCAAAGCTCAGTTGATGATCGAATTAACCTTAAAGAAAAGTTTTGATGAATGAGTTGGATGACAATTTGAAAGCGCTACCGGAAGGCGGATTAAAACAGAACCGCTATGTTATTTTGAGCAGGATCACAAGTTACCTGGTGCCATGTTGATTGGGGCGTCATTCATCTCAGATTGGTAGGCGACAGACAAACTACTGAAGTAGATCTCAGCATACCAAGGAGAGGAATCAAGTAAAATGGCACGCGTTGGAAGGCTTAAATGATTGCACAGTTCAATTCGCACCCCGCCATCAATATCGCCCCTCCCTGTGGCATATTTCATGACGGAGATACTATCCCCCGTCCCAGTCGAGAATCGTGATGTTTCAACAGGAGGAACAGAGGTTATGGTGAGGTCGTTGGCAAAGTCATGTGCAGGTGTGTAGACTGCGAGTACTCGATGACTGTCCCAACTGACTAACGAGGATGATCCAGAAGGTTTCAAATCAAGACGTGACTGAGAATGAAGAATTATGATTTCACTTCGACGTGCAATTTGGCACGACTTGTTAATCCGGCCACCCAGAAGACCTGTAAGTGACCACGACTCTATACCAGGGTGAATACAAATTACGAAACAAAAATGCATTACCTTGAACAGAGCTATATGAGTAACGCCGATCAAATACAAATGTCAGAGACTGCCTTAATTCTAATGATGATTGTTTACATTGAGAACCCTAAAATACAACGTAAGAAGTAATCATGACTTACTGAACAAACTCTTCGGACGCCAATATACATAGCATTGTAAGCAGCCTTAAAAATCGACTTGGGTTTGAGCATACTGGCAAGACCACCTAATTTTTTACAAGGCAACAATTTTGACCAAGGAGTGAGATTTTCTGTACAAACTTCTTCGTGAGGAAGCTGGGCGTAACGGAATATCTCGGAGGCATTGTTAAAAGTAAGCTGCTGGGTGAGGCCAGAGGGGCGATAAGACATTAATGGTGATATGTAGCTGTGAGGTAAGCCAAGTTGACTTAATGAGGCACAGAATTGACCAGAAAGGGCCTCAAGAAAATAAGCCCAAGATTTGTCAACACTGTAAGGTTCTGAGATAAAGCTAAAGCAAAGTTACTCGGATGTTGAGGGAGAGAACCAAGCCCATATTTCAGCACCCCCAGATGCAGTAGGTGTAAACGATGGGCCCCATTTTAATCTGTCCCAAAATCCCTGCACTATTGACAAATGGAATTCATCAACATTGTATTTTGAGATTATAGAATATAGTGACTTTGGAAATAGGTGAAAATTGTGGTCTGAATTTACAAAGGAATTACAATTTCAATCTTTACCACCACTCGTAGTTTTGCGAGTAACAAGATTGAAGTGGAATCCAGAGAAGCCATTACCCAAGTCCCTAACGAGTAACTCTTCCTCAAAGTGATCTGCAAGAGCTAGAGTTAGTCCTATAACGAAGAAGTGAACAAATCGCTGCATGCGCGCAGGTCAGCCTATGCAATAACCTTCAAATCCACCTCCTTATAATCTGACTCCGTAAATAAAATCGACACCAACCAAAACAAGAAAGCATAATTAATCTTAATTTTCTTCGCTTAATCTGCCTAGAATTAATAAACAATTTAGGTCCTTGTGTTACGATAACTGCAAAAAGGACGACGTTAACCCAAAACCACATTTGGGGCTGATGTAGCCCGTGTTTCAGTGGCGTAATCCACCGCGTTGGCTCATGACTGAGGCAGCTGTTGATGCAACTCTCAGCAAAGAAGTCATTCAGGGTCCATCCAAAGAGCAAACCAAGATTGAGGTGCTGTTTAAGCCTGTTGGTGATGCACCATGCATGAAAAAGTCTAAGTGGAAGGTAGCCAGATCTGATACTTTATCGGCGGTGACAAGTTTCCTATTTAAATACCTTAACCTTATTCCACAGCAAGACAGTATTTTCATCTTTGTTTCATCCAGTTTCACGCCTCCTTTGGATACCGAATTAGGCACTCTTTTTGACTGTTTCAGTACTGAAGGGACACTGATTCTGCAATATTGTAAATCGCAAGCCTGGGGCTAAGTGGTTTACTTCAATTTCTACCAACATTGTACATTTTTTGCTTTAATAAACTTTAAGGTACTTATTTTAGTTTTCTTGTCAGGTTGTACATCCGTATATGTGTGAACCTATATGCTAGTGGTGGTATTTTACCTACGTTTACCTTTGTGGTTGCGCTCATTTGTAACAAACATCTTGCGCAAATTTACTGCGCGGCTGTTTTCTAGGCCTGATTCCTGTTATAGTTAGTGTGGGTGCAGTTCTTCCATTACCATAAGGTCATGAACCCTGGATCTTCAACACTGGCATACCACGGTCCCGTGTGTCTTTTGCAATGAACCGATTTTTCCTTGCTGCAGGACGGGTTATAAAAAACTTGGATCTGTCATTAGCATACACTTGTGTCGCACATGACAAGGAATTGACCGCTTTATCTCGCGATGCAGGCAAAGCCAGGCGGCTCTTCATTGGGTAAGATGCTTTACCATTTTAATGGTCTTTTTAAGGGCGTAAAGTGCTAAAGGACTTTCTATACGCTGCGATCAGCATTTATCTGTTCCAGCTAGAGGCTTATCCTTCGGAAGCCTTCAAATCAGCCTTTGTATTTGGAACTCCTGCTAAGGTAAATACTTGAGAATTCTCAAACATTTTGTAATAATGTTCGTTCAGAAAGTGTAATAGTGATCGGTTTGGCGTGCTAAGAGACTTGGAGTTAATGGAGAAAAATTGGAAGTGAGAAGCATCTAAATACTGGGAAAGATATATGGTATAGGATGTTTTTTGTGATCAGTTAGCACCTCCACTTTTTATATCCGTCAGCAAAAATCTGGTTCCAGTTTATATAGTGCTACGCTAAAAGTGCGATTTTAGAAATATACTGCGTCACCATAGCGTAAATTTATGATCTCATCGTCTGGGATGCGATTGCCGCAAAGGTCTTGTAGTACAAAAATCCTTCTAAACTCCATCGAGCGAAGAAAGTGGATTAGTAAAAGGTATGTTTTGGATTACACCAACAATTTTTAATGATCGGAGTAAAATGAAGCTCTTGAGTAAACGGTGATGCGCCACCAGTTTCGGGTGTTTAAGTGTTAGTGTTGTTGGGGATCCAATGCTTGATGGCAGGTTTGTGCGTCGTACATTCTTTAGCAAATCTAATTTGCTTAAACTTCGCCTCATTTTTCGTTTTTACTTCCTTAGGTCATTTTTTGGCTTCCGTCCCTTTTAGATTTTACGAGCTCAGAGTGTTCGAAGATACGCTATGAAAGTACTTAATTCCCTGCAACTCTCAGGGGATGGCCAGCAGGAGCTTGTTCTGCGCTATCACCAGCCAGAAAGCAATGATTATTGTGATGTTGTTTTCCGTTTCCAGTGCCTTCTTTCCCATTCCGAGTGTGTTCCTCACCATGATAGTTCGAATGATATCTTTACTGTTTAGCAGATCAATTTTCATTCACTAATGGACCATAGCATTCGATTTCACTGAAATGAGACTGCAAATAAGGAGAGCAAAATTACAGAATGGCAGTGTATAATTCGATGAGGGCTGTAGCTCTCAGAATCGCCCCTGTAGACATATTAAGGGATGTTAGTGTTAAGTAGTTGATTATCAACGCATGGAAGGGCTGAAAGGCTATGGGTAGAGGCGGAGGACTTCGCTGCCAAGATGTTGGTACGAGGTGGGCTTATTACAAGACATTTGGACAAACAAGCCTCGTTTCGTCTGGGCCATGTCAATAGCACTTCAGTCACATGACTTTCGATATCATGAAACTTACAACTTTATTCCAACTCGTGAATTCGATTTCAACGGATGATGGTGTTCTACGTGCCATTTGGGTGATTTTTCTTTGTACTTGCCGTCTTGCCTGCGCACTTGTCGACGCCTATAGAACGATTTGTCTACTTTAGCACTTATTTGAATTTGGGTTTTTGGAAAGAGGGCTTTGGATCAGCTCTGGGCAAACTTTGGTTACGACCCCTTCCAATCCTTCATGATGCTAATAAAGGTAAAACTTTAAGTGTTAGCAGAATCGACACTTATTTTAACTAATTTCAGGTTCCTCATGGACTCTTTTAGTTCGGAATTGGTTCCAATCTGGCAGCTTGTATCGTCAAGTAAGTGATTTACTGTCTACAGAGTAGCGCCTTCTATCACAACATTCAAAGCAGCGTATTCTCCTGAAGTACTGAATTGAAATGAATTATGTTATCTGTGTAGAATTCTCACAACTCAACTACCACATTCTTTTTCGCTGTCTACTTGCTGCACCCAAACAGCTTCAGCTTAAAGTTAACTTTTCAGGTTGTCCATTACTTAAAGCGTACCAGTATGATTTACTATTCTTTGGAATATTGCATCCATGGCAGGCTGTAAAATTTGCCCGTTTTTCGAAAGATTTCTGATTTACTGATTTACAATTCGAATGACACAGTAAGCAGGCTGTCTTATCTGCGGAGTTGTACCACTTATTATTAATTTATAGCCAAGGCTTTCGCACATACTCCTTAAACCATAATAGCAGCAGTACGCGCAGTCACAAAAACTCCAGACCCGCTGAATACTTAACGAGGTACTTGCGCCGTCGTTTGTTTCAGTCTAATCCCCAGATCTTATCCACCACGAATTTTGTGGATGCCGAAGTGCCAAATCACGGACCACGTTCATGCTTCCCCGTCCATTCGATAACCCAACTCGATCTAACTGTTAGTTTAACCATGTGTGACTTAATAAGCATCAATGACCCACTATTGCAATCTATGAGGATTTCTAGTTTCAGATCTTTTATGTCTTTCCGGACTCAGCCCCATCACCGTCCTCCCATGATGCTTCCAAGAATGATGCCGGCAGAGCAGTCACATTCCCAAATGCATGAAATGAGGTTAATCATCTCCACCTTAATCAAAATAAACGGCGAAGCAAATTCGCAGTAATCTTATTCTCTGCAACTGGATAAACGAAAACAGAGAGACGTTCCTTTGAGTAAAACGCAACAGTTTTCAGGGGGACATAGCTCAATAACAGTAGGTGATAAGCAGAGCGACTTCTCTGCCTTGGTAGTTGACGATGGGTATACGTATAGGTGAATTAAGCGTAGGATAATACTGCCGAGAATGAAACTCAAGATGTGTGGTAGTTGTGGTTGGCACGTTTGAGCGGGTGGGTCCGGAACACGTTCAACTGATTCACTTTGGGAAAAATGCATGGGAAGTTAGTAGCCAGTGGTCCCTTAAGTTCAATTTGCGTAGTAAGGTTTGACTAGGACTACTTAACAGTATAGGTGAAAGCGGGTTGACACAGGGCCCGATAGGAAGTCAATCTATCTTGTAGATACGAAATAAACATTGTTGCACGGGAGTCTGCATGGGTAGTGCTCGTGAGCATGTAATCACCTATTGAAGGATGTCACTTATGAAAAGCAAGGGTTTTATTGAGTACTTATGGAGTCGAGAACAACAAAAGATGGTCGAGGTATGTACTGTTCATCTGGTAAAACAGAAGAACATTTTAGGTTTGGCGAGTGGGTGTACTTACACATTTGGGTAAATCAGGGGGCTTGGCGAAAGTAGCTGAGTATAGTTGCAAATACCTTCACTCCTCAGAAGAACTTCAGCACCTATTTCATGTCTCGTCTCTTCTGAAATCGTAGACAAGGATCGAATGAACGGTGGTGGTTGTGGAAACCAACTAAATACCTGAACCCATATATTCAGCCTTAACAATTAGAAATGTTCAATTTTATAAAAAAATATTGGCGTGGTATATTACAGTGGCCTAGATGAGGACAAATAGGGGAAATAATTCGAACGTACAGTCCACTGGGCCCTCCCCGATGGCGTCAAATTAGGATTTGGGGGTATGCATGGCGATTTTTCAGCATCTTCCGAAGACTTCGGGACCCTTTCGCTTTCTGTCCGTCTTACAGGCTGGTAAATTTTAAAACAAGTTATGATTACTTCATATTTTGGTCACAGGAATTACGTCTATAGCAATTGTTAAATTTTTCGGATTGATAAAAACCTGCACCAAGAGTTGTCACGGAAGCTTGAATAGAGACTTAAGTAACCCTTGAATATTGCATGTGGATATCAGTAGGATTGCATTAAAATGATGATACGTATTAGCGGCATTAATGTATAAATGCTCAAGGTAAGTAAAGTACATCAACTTACCCTTTGTTGTAATGATGAATCTGGTCTCTTTTCGGCGATGGGAGAGTAAAGGTGCTGCTTCGGTAAATAATTGGAATATTGCAAACTTTGTCGCCTGGCAACCTTAAAGTATACGTGCGAGAAACAAATCAAATTGCGATCAGACATTTTAAAGTCACAGTAGCAAAAATAGAGCCCATTCCCATTTCTTGTGAGCGGTGGCACAGAAAGCAGCTTGTCTACCATGATTAGATCCGCCTTTATAGATAATAGTTTTGGTTTATTTAAGCATTATTGGCAGATTTTATTTGGCATCAAAATGGCAGTGAGATCGAGTCTCCAAAGCCTTAAGCATTGCAGTACGATAGTGAGGATACAAAGAAGTGAAAAACAAGAATGGCATTGATAACTTATTACAGGTTTTGATTGGCCCTGACTTCGTGGTGTATGTCCCGACCCTGGTGGCAGCGATGCTACCGGGGCCGGAATACCCGTCGGCGCTGGAGGAGGTGTCGGACAAATTGCTGGAGGGGGTATCGAACAAATCGCTGGAGGAAGTGGCGGATCTGTAGACTCTTCTTGCGTAGACTCGGGGTATAGTCCCCAATTTGTCTCCCTCTCACTTTCTGGCAGTCTAATTACCTATCATTAGGAATGCAGTGTCTAAAATCTATATTAGTAATATCAGAATGGAGAAGGAAGCATTCACTTTTTGATACTCCATTGAAGAATCGACTGATTCATGCCAATTTGGTGTCAAAAATTAGATAATATTCTTAGCACGGTTCCCGATCATGTCTCAACCCAAGAAATTACTAATACGAATTGCCAGCTCAAAGTCGACTAAAATTCGCACAATATATTGCTATTTTATGGATGAAAAATTCGAACCTGAGTACAAAAACAGAAGTTCATTAAAACAGTCCACAAAGACTCACTCTAAATCGTGATGTAGTTGGGGAAGGGCCTGTAGCCTTGACCTGTTCTGTCGTCTAGTAAACAAATAGGAGACTAGAGGCATGGGCGATAATAGTTATTATGGTGAAAGGAGTAGAACTTCAATAGTAGCACACACTGTTAGGAAAAATTTGAGGGTGCGCGTGCGTCGGCGTCAAAGATTTGAATAGAAGCGATTAGGGTAAGCACAACGATTCCTTGATGCATCAAACTACCGGCTAAAAGTAATCAGACGAAAACGAAATGACTACTACAGGCAGACGAAAGAATTTTGCTACCCCAACTCGAATTTACAATCAAGAAAATAGCATAGTGGATGGGTAGATAAACATAAATTCCTCCTCAATAAAATTGAAGTCACTAGTATTTAAAACGCAATTCCAAGCACGGAAATGCTAGGGCTAAAGTAGGGGTTTCCTTTGAATTTAAAATGCTCTTCGTACTTGTTTGGATGATGAAGCTGCTGTTGCAGAGGCGTTTGGGATTATCGAGGCCTGTGTTGGCAACAAAATAGGATGCGCCCCATTAGGCTGAGAAGTCGGTTGTCCATTGCATTTTTCTGTGGAGATCGGCAATGCCTAGATAATGTTTAACTAAATTTCTAGGACCCAAATATAACATGAACAACAAATTCGGGAGGTATCAGTCACATGGGATCATAAATTTCATTAAAGTGTTCGTTTTTTGAAATCATATTTTCTCAAATCTAGCTAAGACAAACTCACCTTAATCATTGTCCGAGGAAGTCCTTGCTGAAACGGTACCCCTTGATCAGCTACAACAGGGGGTAAAGTGACATAACCTCTGAATGATCCAAATTGTTGAGTTCCTACATCGCTAATTGTCCAAGCTATTCGTTGTGTGGCCCCATCTACCCCTCTCAGAAAAGAAGTACCAGAGCCCACTATTTCGTATTGACTTTGCTTCTCATCAGTCCCCGTATTTTGCGATGCAGCTGACAACATGGGGACCCTCCGAGAGTTCTGAGATGAGATTCCACTATTTGGTTTCGTGAAACTTTCACGAAGAGTCATCACGAGGAATACAAACTCATCAAAATTCAAAGGAGTTGTGGGGGATTCCGGTAGTGGAAGTTCTAGCAGAGGCATAGCTAGGTTTTTAGGATTTGCAACAGTAAGTTTTTGAATATAATTCATCCGGACTGAGGGCGTAATGGCAAGCAATCCACTCCTAGGTGGATAAAAGATCGTTATGTTTGGGCCCATAAAGTTTCTGCCTTGAACAACAATAAAATTCTTGTAATTTGGTAAAAAATAAAGACCAAATCCGCAGTCAACTCCATCCCAGGAACACAAAAATGATGGGTGATCGGGTAGGTGTAGAAGGTGACCAGCAGTTTTGGTGCTGCTAGGCATAATGATAATGGGATCGGTTTTGTTCGAATCCCATAAATGCTTCGCTAGCCGACAAACAAGTTGCTGTGCGTGAGCAGGTACTTTCACAGTAATTGTATCTTCATCTTCATCATCAGGAGCTCCGGTCGGACCACTTGGGTCGCAATCTTAAAGGTAAAATAATGAGCTGGAAGTTAGAGACCACGTTGTTAAAAATTCAGTTTAACAATCCTAATGGCATTTAAAAAACGATACCTTCTGTCTCGATGGTCTCTGTCACTATATTTCTACCAATTATGCTCACCAGTTCGTCCGAGCAATTAGGGTAGAATTGGAAATCTTTATTCAGTGGTACTGAGTTCGTGTCCTTTTCCAAAGCTTGCAGTAAACCCTCCACGGCTCCCCTTATCGAGCCGGATACCACTTCACCCATTTCGGGATAGCAACAGCTTGTGATCTAGGGAAACTAGTCAGTGATGATATATTCATGGATGAAACACAGTCTAACTTCTGCTTGATTATCCAGTATCATTCATAGGTTTCATAATAAATTCTTACGACCTTGTAAGCATCATGATTTCGCATTATAAAGCATAAAAATCTTACCGATTTCATATCACTATCCAAACGATGGATATCACAACAAAACCTGAGGACCCAAAATTCCGTCGTGGGATTAAAGAAATCGGGCATTTTGATAATGAAAGTTGCCCGGATTGTCCCACATTTTTCCCACATTGTATTCGACACCCTAATTGTGTACTCATTGAGTGGTAGTTGTTGGCGTCGCCTTTCTCGGACCAGTAAAACTGACAAAATCGGTTTGCAATGGCTTTGCCCACCAAGCTAAAAATTACAATTGTTAGTAGCTACGACTATTAATAGGATATTTCAATATTGCAACCACTTCTGGGTTGTACCACGAAATACGCTGATGGGTATTAGCTTAATCAGTCTGGTAAAACTCGACAAATTTGATAGCGTCCTTAAGGCACATCTTTAAAATATGCTTTGGGCTTTAAAAAATGTTATGTGACAGAAGTCATGGAATATAACGCCAGCTAGGCTAAAAAAAATATCTTTGTAAAAGTCCCTAAGGGAACCCAAATATTATAAAAGATGGGCATTAATAAAACATCTTTCCATCTATGTCAATGCTATGGATAGAAACAAACGGACCAAGTTCAGCATGAGCACAAACCCGCCATAAAATGGTTAAAATACTCAGGTGGCATTCTGTCAACCGAAGTGGGTGTTTCGCAATGTGTGTAAACATGATACAGACATTGACAAAAGGAAATAGGGCAGTGGGTTAAGCAGACAGGATTGCTGCATTTGAAAGCATTCGTAAACTGCATAAATAAAGCCATGTGGGAAAGTCAGATAAAAAAGTGTAAGCAAAAGACCAGGACTAAAAAGCGAGACGTCCACAATGTCAGGATTCGCATTTGTTAATCAACAAAAAGAGGATGTAGTTTGCGAATTTAAAGCATAAAATTAATAGTCATAAAAACGCAAATGCAGTAATAAAGGCAGCCTTAGTTGATAAACCTACATAATCGCAGTTTAACATTCTC